TTTATGTCTATCTCTGTGTCCAACTTTAAAGTATCTAGCACAAGAAATACTTAGGAGAAATATTTAGGCAGCAGAATTTTAGGTTTCTCCAAGAAGAAAACTCGCTTATAAAGATTTATTCGTTTTTTAAAAAGTGGGGTACAAGGTGGTGCAATCATTGGAATCCATAACATTTTTGTCTGAGGGATTCAGAACCTGGTAAGTCTTGCAAGAGGAACTCTGCAAAGGAAGAAAGTCAGGATATAAAATGTAATAATAAAGTGAGTGTGTGCGGCTTTGGGTAGCGCTGACATTGCGAAGAATAAAATCCCCCTTCCCTTTTGAGCAAGGAGTAAGGAAGCAGAAAGGAAAACTAATGGGGTCACAGTCTCTGTGGGAAATCAATTTATTTAGCGGATTCGTTTGAAAGGTGTCTCTTAGCATCGTTCTTATTTTATTATTATTTATTACATTTCTGTACTGCCTGTACATGGGTCGTTCACAGCAGGATATAAAAACAAATTACATACATGAAACAGTACTTAGAACATTCAAAAAATTAAATAGCATTAAAATAACTTAAAATTCAATAAAATACAATAAAAAGACCCAACCAAGAAGAAAGAAAAAAAGACACCAGGTAAACCCATCAGACTCCTCTTTGACCTCTTTAAAGGCCTCCGTAAAGAGGGCTGTCTTAACCTCACACCAAAAAGATTGCAGATTTGGTACCAGGTGGACAAATTTTATAATGTGGTCCTGCTTAGTAAGATAAAGAAATTGGTTTTCATTTCCTTTTTGCAGGGCGGAAGGAAAGGAGTGTACTGTGATAGGACTAAAATGATCAAAAGGTTTCATCTACAGACAAGCCTGCAACTGATTCCTGTTAATTTCTTTACTATAGCAACAGGTCTGTAAGGACACTCATTACTGTTTTAGCTTTTGCTTAGACTTTATTTCTCTGAGAAGTCAGTATGGTTTTAAGTGAAGGCTAACCTTTGTATAGAGTCTAAGTTAATAACTTTTTTGGTCTGTGTTAACATTGTGTGGGTTTTCCCATCTTACTCAATGTAGAAAACTTAAGACTGGCAACTTGAAAAGACAGCTGTAATGGAGACAAATGTTCCCGAGGTCTCCCAGGACAAGCAGCTGATGCTGGCATGGCCGTCCATTATGGCATTCCACTCACTCACCACCACGGTCACGAGATGGAATGACGTAATAGCAGCCGAGTTCATCTCTGTGTGGGAGGAAGGTACTTGAAATGACAATAATTGGGCCCCGTACCTTCAACATGGACTTGTTCCTCCATTTTATTTGTGGAGGAAGGTTGGTTGGTTGCGTGCTTTATTTCTTGCTTGTTGCATAGTAGGCTATGGGTTCAGGTATAGTTCAGTGCTCAGGGCCCAAATGAACAGATAACGGGATTCAATTTTAAGTCCAGACTACTTTGTTAACTTTCCTATTTTGTCGGTAGTGCATTTTCTGAACAAGCATGCATCTTAGTAAGTTAATAATAAGAAATGAAATATTCTTGCATTTGGGTAGTGGAATCTGAATACATTCGATTAGCAAATGGGGCCATGAGGCCAACGTGTCCTTTTGTAATGCGTAATTATGACTGACAGGGACTGCAGGTGGCACAGTGGTTTAAACAGCTGAGCCGCTGGGCTGGTTGATCGAAAGGTCGCCGGTTCAAGTCTGCACAACGGGGTGAGTTCCCGTCGCTCCGTCCCAGCTCCTGCCAACCTTGCAGTTGGAAAGCATGCAAATGCAAGTAGATAGAAAGGTACCACTTCAGCGGGCAGGTAACAGCGTTCTGTGTACTTCAGTGTTTAGTCATGCCAGCCACATGACCATGGAGACCGTCTGCGGACAAGCGCTGGCTCCCTTGGCCAGGAAACGGAGATGAGCACCGCCCCCTAGACTCAGACATGACTGGACTTAATGTCAAGGGGAAACCTTTCCCTTTACCTTTTAATTATGACTGATGGGAGAAAGCAGCCTTTCTGTATGCATGTTGTGCATATAATATTGCTTAGTATCACATTTATTTAGGAATTGAAACCCATTGAACATACTATGTAAATGTGCATAGAATCAAACCTGTAACAAGTGTCTAGAACGTTTTGCAAATGAAGAATTTTCTGGGGGAAATTGTGTTTCTGTATGAGATGGGAAGTCAGTGTTGGGTGCTTGTAATCTGACAATTGAAACACTGCAGATCTCAGTTTGCTGGAGTACATAATCTGAGAGTACAAAATCATTCATCTGGACATAGCTGCGGGAGTTGATGATATGGCAGTTGACCCCAGAGATGTTTGATTTGCTATCGACCTTGTATAATAAATCCAACAGGAACATATTTCTCTGTCTGGTGTACAGGAACATACAGTGGTACCTCGGCTCACAAACGCCTGGGTTCATGACCAAATCGGTTCGCAAACAAAAATTTCATGAAAATTTTGACGTGGGTCACGAACTCCGCATTGGGTGGTAACCAAGATCACAGCCATCTCCCCACCCCTCTGAGTGGGGAGATGGCCGCGATCGCAGTTGCGTTCGTGCAGGGAAGGCGTGCGTGATCACGGGCACGCTCCTGCAGGAAAGACGGGCGCAATCTCGGCCAGCTCCCCCACTCCAGTCAGCACGATCATGGCCATCTCCCCACCCCCCACCCCAAGTGGGGAGATGGCGGCGATCGTGCTGGTGGGAGCGGGGGGGAGATGGCCAAGATCGTGCCCATCTCTCCCTCCCCCAGTGCGCCCCGTTTGCGCCCATCTCCGCCTCCTCCGTGCGCTGGGATGACTGGCGCATGCAGGGATGACAGGTGCGATCTCAGTCGTGCTGGGGGGGGCCGAGAGATGGCTGCGCTTGTGCTCGGGGTGGGGGGGGAGATGGCCACGGTCTTTGTTGTTCTTTGTCACTTTGCCTCACATTTTTCTGATTAAAAACAATGGTTACAGAACAGATTAACCTTATTTACATTGAACCTTACGGGGAAATTTAACATGAGTCACAACCAATTTGGATCACGACCAGAGTCCTGGAACGGATTAAGTTAGTTAGCCAAGGCCCCACTGTATTTCTCTGTCTGTCTGTGCAAAGCAACTCCTTTAATATTATTTTTGACAGATACCCAGAGTGGTTTATCATAAACAAGTAACATAAAGTATACATTTGTAGCTAGAAAGTTTAGACATGCTGGTGACTTTTGAAGACATCCTGTTCCCAGCTGTTAAACTCTTTACTCTGTTTGAAAGCCAGGATGAGCAGAAAGTAGATCACCTGAAGTCCCTGCCAGCATTTGCAGTGGTGGCAATTGCTTGGAGTAGCAGTGTAAAACACCTGGAAAGTGACTTTCTGCCAGTCCCTGTCCTAAGGTTTCAGGAATAGCAGTCAATCTGTGTGTTTTTTTTTTCTTAATCCCAAAGAGCAGAGAGCATTCCTTAGAACAGATGAGAGGAACTTGTGGGCCTCAAAGTATCAGAGTCACTGGTGAGGGATAATGGAAGTTGTCGTCCAAAATGTATGATCGGCCATAAGTTGTTCATCCTTGATTTAAAAGAAATATCAGAACATGTCAATGCTTGTACTGCATTCAAAAATCTTACCTTTTTCCCTCAAGTTAATTTATTTTTTATTTATTAAAACATTTTTATGCCGCCCCATTCGCCGAAGCCTCGGGGCGGCTTAATATTGAAGGGACTGTCGTGCTTTACACTTGGATTCACTAAAGGTGATGATAATTATCACCATCATATAGCATACACTGCAATGGTATAAATATTATCATGCAGATTCCTAGATTATCCCTGGCATGACTAACTGTGAAGGATACAATTTCCCTGAATCCGACTGACCTCATTGTGTGCATTGTTGCCTCACCTTTATTCTGATTCGAGGCTTAGAGGATGAATGCCATCTCTGTTGCTAGAGTGGCTTGAGAGAAGGGGGAAAATGATAAACTGAAAGCCTCCACATTCCCCTCTTTTGCAGCCTGTGAGGTTTTCTATTACCTTGGACACTTGGCAGCTGCTGGAGTCATGGTTGTGAATAGAGCTCCTTGTCTTTGGTTGAGCCAGTTAGGTTGGCCGAAAACCCAGTGAAACAACCCTGCAGCCAGTATCTAAGCATAGTATGTGCCTCTGTATTCATATACATGCAGTCTTTCCCGATCTGTTTAACTAGACACAGCTAGCCAAACTCCATATGCACAGCTGTCTTTATTAGCAGAATTCATTGTTGGTTGTGAATTTTGAGTTTTTGGCCAGTTCTCAGAACTCTAGTTAAGCTAAGGAGAAATGGTAAATATTTTTGTGTGCTTTTATTCCTGCAAATGCTGTCTTTCATTTTATTCATGTTAAGAATTGTTTGGTCACAAAAGAGAAAATCTCATACTTTTTTGCTATTTGAGGTATTGCCTTGGGGAGAAGGGATTCTTCCCTTTAAACATACCGACATTTCTTCAGACAGAAGGGGAAGAGATTAAATTGGGTTTGGAAGCAAAGAATTTGGATATTTTGCTTACAACTCAGCTTTTTTGGACAGGCTAGTGGCATTGTCTAGAAATGGAGACTGAATTACCACCACTGGAGATCTCTTGCTTTCCTCTGAATATTGGTAGAAAGATAAACTCAGTGCAGTGCTGAAAGATAAGCTTCAGCAGAACATTTTAATATTATACAAATAACACACAGATCTACTTTGGTAACAGGTCTTCCTTGAAGTTAACTGAACCCAGAAGCTCATCCTTCTGGACTCATTGGCCAATAAGGCATGAGCTCTGTGCTGACACTGATCACAGTCCATGAATTGGGCCTTTCTTTCAGTACCTGAAGCAGTCCCAGCCAAGAATAAGTCTGGACATTCCATTTACTGATAATTCTAACAAGTGATCCAGGATTTGCATAACCCTAGCTCTTTGCATCCATATGAGCGACATGGTCACCTGTAGAGAGAACTCCATGTTTATAGCTGTACATGTGAACGCCTCCTGTCAAGAAATACGGATGTACTGTCACCTGGATTGTGTATATGAGTTGAGTATGTGCTGTCAATGTGTGGGCTGTCATTATGTGTGAATCCTGCAGTCTGGTTAGGTGTGGGTTGTGAACCACAAACAACCCAGGAAGACAACCCCAGATTTGTAGTTGGGCTATGAACTCTGGGTCGCCATTATGTGTGAGCCGGAGCTGGAGGTGGAGCAGGGCTATATCATGTACATAATGCCCAAGGTAGGCTACACTCCTGGCTTCTGTGTCGCCACCTACAGAATGTGGAGTGTCTGAATGGAGCTCCTGTGGATGGCTTACTTCCACTGGCATGAAAACCAGCCTCCGTGTGTCACACAGATTGGGACAGCCAGACGTCTGTCTCTTGCAAAAGACAAAAGCCAACTTGGTTGGGTTGGGTAATTGTCTGTCGGCTCGCAACAACAGGAACATCATTTGTGACGAAATTTGTACATCTTGGCTGCTTAAAGTAGTTCTTGGAGAATTTGTACCAACATGCTGGTACAGTTGTGTGCGTGTTGGAAAATACGTGTGTCTAATATGTGTTGCTTAGTTACACTGAGGAATACTTTCCCCTTCAAGCAATCATAAATTCTGACTATGAACAAATAACGTTCATTGTTATATTCTGTTGCTCCCAGAAATGTTTAAACTTGCAGTTTGTTCCTTGCTTTTCAGTTGTCATCAAGGTGCACATTTCCTAAATCCTCTAGCTGCTGAAAAGAAGAATGCCTCGCTCAGTTGCTTCCGCTCCTGTGTCAGCAGTCCTGCCTTTCCTGTTGGCTCTTACTCTCATTAGTCATACTTTCATGTGTTTTGCATGCCATGTCACAAGCAGTAGCATTCTGATTTGTGCTGGGCAGTTGTGTTGGCTTTCTGTATGAGGCAACATGATCCTGAGGTCTGTACTTGGGTCAAGCAGTTTTGGCAAAGAGAATGACCAACAGCTGTGTTCCTTCTGTGAGGAAGCCTCTGACACTACTTTATCCAAATGGGGAGGTATGTCTGAAAAGTAATATCGGATACAACTTGTTGTGTACATCGTGTGTGCTTTTGTCTTCTCCAGCCGCAGAAGTGGTTATTCTGGTTCTTGGGAGGGTTAGTAAACGGAATCATTTAACCCTGTAGTTTGACTTTTAGATTGCCATGTTTAGGAATCCTCAGAAGCAACTTCTTGATTTTATGCTGTTATCAGAAGTGCTCTTCAGCACCTATAGCAATGTGAGCTAAAAGGTTCTTACAGGGAATAGGTCATGTTCGAAGCAGCATAAGAAAGAAAGAAAACATGGAAAGTACAGACCAGCAGAGATGAAGTATGATGACAATACAGCTGATAACTGAGTTGCGAACTTACTGTGTTGTGGGACTGATACACAATAGTACCGTGGAAGGCAGCTTGGTACCCTCCAGATGTTTTGGACAGTAGTTTCCAAAAGGCCCAGCCAACATGCTCAGACATGATTATGGGAACTGTAGTCCTAAGCACCTGGAGCATACTGGCTTACCTATGCTTGCTGTGGTAGGTAACTGGCTGACCTTTGTTACTTGCTGGATTGTGTGTGTGAGTGATTTTTCTTTATTGATGTATCACAGATCTTGGGTGGGGGACCTGTGGTGCTCTTAGCATTGTTGGATTACATCTCTCATAATCCTTGACTGTTGGTGCACTGGCTGGGGCTGATATGAACTGAAAATCAGGCATGGTAGGCATGTCATGAGCAGAGCTGGGGGTCAGACTAGATGGCCCCAGAGGCCCCTTCTGACTCACTTTATTTATTTATTTACTTATTTATTTATATCCTGCCTTTTTCCTACAAAGGGCTCAAGGCAGCTTACATCTCTTCCTCCAGCTTATCCCCACAACAACAACCCTGTGAGGTAGGTTGGGCTGAGAGTCTATGACTGGCCCAAAGTCACCCATGTTTCTAATTTCTGGAGTTCCACAGCTTATCCTCCCCTACCATAGAACGATGAAGGCAAAATGTGCAGAAAGCTCTTGGGCATTACAACAGCTCCAGTGCCGTTCTGTCAACGCTTCCAGTGATGTGGGTGGGCACTTCACTGCCCATTCTTGGGACGTGTCAGCATTTCTGAAAGCAGTGTGGTGCCACATGTGAACTTGAATTGCCTTTACATGCTTTGCAATGACCCAGACTACCTTTAGATGTTTGTCAGAGAACTGTAGTAATCACAGCAGTGAGTGGTCATAAAATGGAGCCATGAAAAAGCAGGTATGGGAATTAATATCTTCCCTTTCTGGAGTAGCTGGAGACTCATAACTGTTGAAAAAGTGGAGGATGCTGTCAGTCCAACACTGTAAGCCATTTCTAAGTGGGAGATAGTCTTCCCTCCTGCCACTCTGGGTGCTCTTTGTTTGGCTACACTTCCCTGTTTAATGGTGCTTTTCATTGGACAGCAAGGCCATCAGTTTGTGGTAACCATGCACACATTTGCCTATAAGCAGTTTCACCCTCTCTGTTTCCATGTACGTTACCTATTCCTTTCCATTTGGCAGCTGAAACAAGCAAGGGAATTGAGCAGGCAAGGCTTCTCATATTGGGCACTTGTGAGCGAGCACCTATGAAAGTCCAACTGAACCAAGAAAACGGTGTAATTTTATTTGTTTTTCCATTCCTTAAAGGGTGGCAATCGGCGATCATTGCTGCACACGGGGCTGCTTGGGCATTGGCAGGAGGAGTGGGAGCAGATCATGGCGAGATCATGAAGAGTAGCAGGGGGTTTTGCTGTCCTTGCCAAGCAGATCGCTAGCGGTTCCCTGCAAGCAATGATGAAATCGATCTCTTGGATTCTGGTGACACGCCAGCCCATTGTGGGTTGTCATAGTGGCTTGTTTCCCTCCAAGATTTAGCTGGTTTGTCGCTGAACAATAAGCCACTCTGTGGTCTAGGTTGCAAACATTTTGCAAATGACAATTTGCAAAATGTTTCTAAGCACCAAGGATTACACCGGTGAAGTCTGTTTTGTACTTTCTTTCAAAAAGAAAACCACAGAACTTGGCAGATGAACATAACAGCCCTGAACTTGCAAGATTTTACTTCCTGACAGCATGCCGAGTTTAAAATAAAATGGTCCGAACGTGCGATAATTGAGAGCACTAATCTTCCCCTATTCTTTTCTCCTGGAAAATGCTTAGCTTTCTCTTTTTCTCCCTCTTGTATAAGTATTTCCTCCTTGATGGAAATGCCTTTCTCTGTGTGCTTCTTTGAAACTTCTTTGGATACATGTGCACAGTCTTACATAGAGGCGTCGTGGCCATGTAACCTTGGGAGCTGATGAAGTTCAGTCTTTCACCTAAGCCTATTATTACTTTTCCAATGGCTTGCTATTCTGATCAGTTAGCATTTTGGTGCTTGCTCGTACTGGCTGGCAAAGTTGCCCTAGGTCAGCGTGCTGTTAGGAGCAGCAGAGTGAGTGACCATAGTGTTCCCTGGGGCATCTTGCGCTCCTCTGCAACTTTTGTCCATTTCATTGAGGCTTGTACATGAGACCTTTCCAGTGGATTGTGTCCCTCATGGAGTGGAGAAGATGCCATTTGCTGGTTTTTTTCCCCCTCCAGGGTTAAAATCTTGTGGCTGCCCTGACTATTGCGTTGATTGTCAAGTTATAATTAACAATCTTGGTTTCTGTTCACTGCTAAGGACTAAATTCGGTGCGCGCCAGTTTTAAAGGATGTGGCAGCTTGAACAACTTTATTTTCCCTCCCTCAGAGGCTCTGCACCGCCCCTATGGTTGCGACACTGAACCCCAGGCACTGAATGAAGCCATCAGGTGGAGCTCCAAGGAGAACCTGCTTGGAGCCACTGAGAGCGACCCCAATCTTTTCGTTGCACTTTATGATTTTGTTGCAAGTGGTGACAACACACTCAGCATCACCAAAGGTAAACTTTGCTTTCTGGCATTGGGAAGGCACAGGTGTGCAGCAAGCAGGAGCAAACCTTGCTTCGCACCTGTGGGGCTTTAGAGGCAGGAGTCGTACAATGGGGCTGTTGTGGAGGTTGTGAAAGAGAAATGCCAGAGCAGTTGCTGTTGTCGGCATGCCAGGGAAGCATGGAGGGGGCGGGGGAGGCAAGCGATTGTCGAGAAAGAAAGCCACTGAAGAGGATGCCAACTGCATGTGCCTTAGAGCTCTTGATCTTATGAAGGTGGTGCATTCTCAGTTGCTTCCCTTCTTAAATCAGGACTCTCTGAGTATTTGGTTTCCTTTCAGATTCTTGAACCAAATTGGTCACTCGTTGAATAAGGCTTTACATTTCTATCTAGTCTCCTACCTTTATTTCACAGAACTGTAAAAAAAAGTTTCTTTTATCTAAATGCTGTTAGACAGCTACTGAAATAGGCATTTCTTGAGCTGGAACAGCTGACAGTGTTTGGGATGCCAATAAGATGCTTTCCCCCCATGAAGGCATGTGAGCGTTCCTGTCCTGGTTGAGCAGTGCAGCCCAGGGGGCACACAGAGTGAGTGGGCAGCCCAGCCCAGCGCCATCCCCCAGTCTGGTCCTGCGCAACACAACAGCTGTACTCATAGCTAGCTTGCGATAAGCAGGTTGATTCAAGTGGCACTTTGGAGGGGCTGTCACAGTTTTACCATACTCTTTGTTTTTAAAAAATAAGCATAAGTCATTTTATTAAATTTTTTAAATAGCTTTTTTTCCACTGCTTTTGCTTTCACCACTCCCCTGGTTTTCTGGACTACTGATGAGGTTGGTCACCCAAGTACAACCCATTGTGGGTCCAACAACTCCTGATCATATGGATTGTCAGGGTGGTTTGCTCCCTGCAAACAAGCAGCCCTGTGGGAAGTGCTCTGGGTTCCAGCTTTACTGTTCGCTCAGGAAGGTAAATCCGTGTCCCCAGCCCTCTCCCTTTTTGTGGGATGTTGTGCAGTCCCTCAGACTTCTGCCGATCTGGGTATTGTACCAAAGCAGTCATTCTGGCTGTGTCTAGACAGTGATAATTACAAATGGTGTTGATATTAGGGTTCAGGGGTGGGGAGCACATGATCCTTCAGATATCTTTGGACTTCAGCATCCACCAGCCTGGGCTAGTATAGCCAGTGGTAAGAACGGATGAGAGGTGAGTCAGTCACATCGGGAGGTCAGCTCACTTCCTACCCCTGGGTTGGATCTTTCTGCAGCTTTTGATACTAGCTGGATCATGAGGGATGGAGACCTGAGAGGCATTACCAAGGTCACTCCTGAGCAATTCCACTTGTTCTTAGTGGGGAGATCCAAAAGCTAATTGCTTACTGTCCGGCAAGGACTTTTCCTGCAGTGAGTCCTGCAGGCGTCCATCCTGACCTCCCTTCTGGATCAACACTTACAGGAAGTTGCCAAAAACTCTACCAAGGGGAAAATGCAGGATCACCAGTATGATGGCAATGAATATGTACACTCTCCCACTTCTTGTTTTTTGTATTGTTACTGCATTTAATTTATATCCCACCTTTTTTCCCTCTTGTGAGGAACCTAGCTAACTTTCCATTTTATCCTCACAATCTCTCTGTGAGGTTGTGAGAGGTTGTGCTTAGAGTCTGCAACCAGCCCAAAGTCACCCAGTGAGCTTCGTGGCGGAATGGAGATCAGAACTCAGATCTTCTGGGCTCACAGTCCAGCATTCTAACTGCTTCGCCACACGGGCTCCTAGGCGACCCCATTACTGAAGGTCTCTAGATGTTCTTTGTGTTAATTGGGTACTGCCTGTCTCTGGATAAGGCAGGTTACATTGTAAACAGCCAGATTCCCTAATCTGTTTGAAATGGTGTCCCTTTTTGCTCCAGGTGAGAAGCTGCGTGTACTGGGTTACAACCAGAACGGTGAATGGAGCGAAGTGCGCTCTAAGAATGGGCAGGGATGGGTGCCAAGTAACTACATCACCCCAGTGAACAGCCTAGAGAAGCATTCCTGGTATCATGGACCAGTGTCACGCAGTGCAGCTGAGTATCTGCTGAGCAGCCTAATTAATGGCAGCTTCCTAGTTCGGGAAAGTGAGAGCAGTCCAGGACAGCTATCCATCTCGCTCAGGTACGAGGGACGTGTTTACCACTACAGGATCAATACCACCACAGATGGCAAGGTAAATCCCTCCTGGGACTCCTGTTTTGTAGATGCAAAAGAGGGAGATCTTCTTTATTGCTCCTTTCCAGACAGCTGTTTTGGGGTAAAGGGAATCCTGTACACACACATCGTCATCAATTTGAGCAATGGGTTTGCATTTCTGCATTCTGTGGTGCTTCCATTGTGCCTAAATCAGCTTTCTTAATGAAGTAAAACTCTTCTGGTTCTGAGTTGGCAGTCAGCGATTAGATTGGCCATTGGGCCAGACCGCTTCCAGGAAAGCTCGAGGGGGAGGAATGCCTCCACTTTCACGTCTTGCTGTGGCAGGAACAGCAGAAACAGCATGTCGTTCCTAGGAGCAGAAACTGTTCTGCACTCTTTATTTTTACTGATGGACTTTCAGGTCCTTGCTGTAGCTAAAGAAGAACCTCTTGCGCTAACTCTATATATTACTATGTAATATGTAAGAAGATAATACACACAGCATTTCCTCTGGGCCTCTCCTCCTGGCGTCCCGCTCAGCGTCAGTACAGGATGATGGAATTCTTTCTCTCCCATCATGTAGGCTTCTCAAATGTCGATACTAGAATTCTGGATTGTTGATTTCACAAACCTGTATAGGCTGGTTTGGATTAAATGACAAACTATACTTTGAATAAACCAATTAAGGGAGCCTTACTGGCTAAAGGGGAGGGTTGAAGGTCTAATAAAGAAAGTATTAAGCCCATTGAATTGGGCTACACAAGTCATAGTAGGAAAAAATGGCTATTTTTAGCCAGTGTTTGTTTATGCTACTCCGTCCCGGGAAATAATCTATCCTTGAAATACTACTGTAATAACTCATGCTTATTTCTGAAATTGGGTCTTAGAGATCCATAGCTTCTCATCCTGAGCTTATTGCTGCACACGGCAATCTCCAGCCGTCCTGCTTCACTTGCACGACTGACCCAGCGCTGGTGCAAGCCACGTCCAAAAAAGTGCCAGCAGTCACGGCAGTGTGTGCTGTTGGCATTGTACTTGAGGTTACTTACGCCAGCGCTACATCAGTTGTTCAGACGAAAATTTGTGCATTAAGAGAAGCTTCACAACTCGTTCATGTATCGATTTGTGCATGGATTTTGTATGTGACTGTTTTCAAACATTTTTGCCATTTTCCTGCACTTGATGCGGAAAACAGAGGAGTCAAAAGTGACTGAGAACTGAGTTATCAGGTTGTGTTATACCGAGGGCCCAGATTTCATGCCTGAAGAAGGTGCTCTGTCCTCTGCAACTTTTTGAGCATACTTGTCCAACAAAGTAGGAATAGCATGATTACTAGGCCTGCTACTCTGGGACTCAGATTGAAGAGGCTTGCAGGCAGGATGAATTGGCTATAACAGCCTTTGAAAAAATAAAACACAGAAAGATTTTTCTTTGTCACTCCAAAAAGAGAAGATACTTCAGGAAAGGATGCTTCAGTTATTTGCAATTTCTAGTTGTCCTGTTGTAGATGCCGGGAAAACCTGCTATCTTCTGGGGCTTTCCCCCATCCAGCCCACTTTCCTGGACTTGCCTCTCACTTGCTGCTTCGCTCATGCGGGCTTTTGCCTTCCTTCTGAACAGGTGTATGTGACAGCCGAAAGCCGCTTCAATACATTGGCGGAACTCGTTCACCATCACTCAACGGTGGCTGATGGACTGGTGACAACCCTGCACTATCCTGCACCAAAGTGCAATAAGCCCACAGTCTATGGAGTGTCCCCCATCCATGACAAGTGGGAGATGGAGCGAACGGATATCACCATGAAGCACAAGCTTGGAGGAGGACAGTATGGTGAAGTGTATGTCGGGGTGTGGAAGAAATACAACCTCACGGTTGCCGTGAAGACACTCAAGGTACGCTTGTGTTCATGGGAGAGCTGTACCTAGTGTGGTGTTGAAACATGACCATGCCCATGACCATGGCAGCTTGGATTATACTGCTTGGTTTGCAAGGCATGCCTTCTGCTCATGCCATGGATCTCAGACATTTTTGCTGCAAAAACTAAATGAAAGCGCCTTAGGCATCTTTGGTGGCAGCTTGTAAACCATCACAAATGGGGGTTCTGTATCTACAAGCGGGTGATACTAAAATGTTCTGCCACTCTTGCATTCTGTGTGTCAGTAATTCCCAGTTTTGACAAGTTCATCGCCTATTCAAAATACACCCTTAGACATTGGAGTTCGTGTACTGCATCTCAACCTTGTTGTGATGTTCTGTTCCATAATCTGGAGACTAACTTGCTAGAACTCACTGGGGGCTCAGGCAAAGACTATGTGAATGATTAGGATGCACCCTGAGCTTATGCCGAAAAGCTGTCCTTCACAGAGTAAGCAGAGCTTCCGAAATGGCATGCGTGGCTTCCCGGCAGCAGCTGAGCCTTAGCACCTATTTGAGATAGAATAATCACAGTTACCTTCGACTCATCTGGAGAAGTTCCATTACTTGCTGTGTGGCTTGTGGTTATACTGTAGTCCAATCTGGTAACTTTAGGAGAAATACCTATATTTTATAAAATTTAGTTTCCAATATGTTCAAGAGAAACAGAAAATCTTGGGTTTCATGTAGCCAGCATTCTAAAATTGTAGGTGTCCCTGGCACATGCTATGCAAAACTCAGAGTCTATAACTCTGTCATTCATGCTTATTGTAAGCAGTGGTGGTAAATTGCATTTTCCTAACAACAAAATTGAACCTCCAAATTCAGAGAGAGAGTAGCTCTGAACCCCATTTGCAGAGGCAAACATGGAAATGCTATTGCTGTCTCCATGCTTTTGTAGGCTTCCTGAAAGCAGCCAGTTAGCGACTGATGAAAATAGGATGCTGGATTAGATGGGCCTTAGTCTAATTTAGCAGGACTCTTTATGTACTTACAAAGGTCCAGAAAGTCATGATGGCAGCGGTGGTGATGTCTAGAACCTGATCTTTCCACCGTATGTAAGTACCTCCTTGTACATCATGGCTAGGTTGGTAGTCCAGAGAACAAGGGCTGGGGGGAGTTGGAGACCAAATATTCTGTTTGGTTACTTGCTTTCCTTAACTAAACTGAAGGAAACCAACTGAAGTGCTCAAGTTTTTCCTTACTGTTCTGATAAACCACAGCACATGAAATAGCGTGCTTACAAGCATCAATTTGGCAATTGTACCTTGCACTTCCAAATTACCCACAGCTTGTGTAAAGCCTAGTCAGTCAGGCTTATAAGAATTGCCTTGATTGCAGGCTTGCATCTCATTCTTCCTTTTTGCGTTAAGATCCTTTTCAGTTGGAGAAGAAATAAGAGGAGAGTGTTCTAATTTGATCCTACTGCTAAGAAGGATTCTTTTGCACTCGCGCAAGTGACGCCCAGCGCATCGCCAATCACGTGGGTGGCAGGGTGGACTTCTTGCCTCCAGCAAAGTCTCTTGCTGTTGCACTTATGTCAGTGCAATGTAATTCACCTTAGTGATAGTGTCAAATTGGCCACTACCTGCATTTGATAGTTCTACAAAGATTTCTGCCAAACTGTTGAATTCTACGCCCTAGTTTCAGTTTAAACTAGTTGTGGTTATTAAGAGGAGAGATGTCTTATCACACTTTCAGGAAGATACTATGGAGGTGGAGGAGTTCTTGAAAGAGGCGTCTGTTATGAAGGAAATCAAGCATCCAAACTTGGTGCAGTTACTAGGTGAGTGCATGAACCTGACCGGTGTTTCTGTCTGCTCTTTGTTTTGCAATTATACGTGTTCACAGTAATACAGTTGCACTCAAAACTGCACTTCAAGAACGGCTGAGGTGTGGCGTCCAAATTTTATTTGCTTTAGCCTAGTTTGGCCAAGGCTCGAAGTGCGCAGAACCTGCATGTGGTGAGGTGGTGCCTGCCCACCTCGCCACTTGGGCATGACTTGGCTTATGCAGCACAGGATTCGGTGTCGACATAGGATTCGGGGTCCTTGCCTCACACAAAATGCACAGAGGCTCCAGCTCCACGGTCTTCCTGGTTCTTAAGTGAGTTACCCATCTCACAGCCTGGGCCTCTGTTTGCGCGGGTCTGGTGCTGGCATCAGGCCCCTCAGGAGGACAGCAACTGGTCCAGGAGCAGTGTAAACAGACATCCCGTTGGCCCACTGCATTGATTCTGCGGAGAGGGAAGATGCAGCGGTCTGGCAGCCTTCCGTCCTGGTTTCAGTCCCAGCTGAAAGTCGCCCCTCCCTCCTGCTGCCAGTTGCCACTCTGAAGACGGCTGAGGAAACAGCCGTTCTTCCACGTGTTCAGACTTACTAGACTCTTAGTTGCAACGCTCAGTAACTGGAATTTCTTTTTTCTGCCTCCTTCCCAATCCATTTTCTTTTTGTGTGATGTCCTGTAAAATGTAAGCCTGTAGGCAGGGACTGTCCTATTTCTTACCTTTTTAAGCTGCTCTGAGATCTGTTTGGTTGACGTGTGAGATAAAATGTTACAGATAGGTAAGCTAAAGTACAGCTTTAGTTGAGAACTGCCTAGAAGAAAGTGCTTCCACAAATTTCATCCAAAATACATTATTCTGCCCCATTGCTGCAGTCTGCACAAACTAGGTATGTATGTTTATTTCCATGCTTTCTATGGATGCTTTCCATTGTAGCAGGGAAAAACAGACTGTGAATAAGAGGGAAAGCAAGAGAGGGAATACATGAGTCCTACCTCTGATAAGTCAGATTAAGAGATCATGTAGCCTAGGAATGCTTGAAAACCACTGGATGAGTTAACACCGCTACCTACCCTGCAAATAAGCCACACAATGTGGGTTGTTTGTGGAACAACCCTAGTGCTCCAGAGATGATTGCCATGTAGACCTTTGCTTTCCAGAGTACTTACAGGTTGGGTGAAGGGTGGAGCAGGTAGATGGGACTGGGAACTGTCAGGATATTAAAAAAAAATGTTGGAGGATCACGCCTGACAGGGGGAAATGTATTTAATCCCCTTACGGGCGAGGGGGGGACCCTTTGTCATTTTGGTTTTCAGTTGACACATTATTAGTTGACAGCTGTCAAGTGTATATGGTTGGCACCTACTGCACTTTAACAACAAAGCAGCCATAGCTGTGCCCCTTGCAAGAAAGACGCTGTGATTGAAATTGCGCGCATTTGGGCTGCTTCCCAACCCAAGAGGGGTAAGGAGCTGGTGCTAATCGTGCCACGGTGCCGTTTGCACTTCAGTGTCCTTGGCAAGGTATTTATGCTGCTCTTGCCAAGCATCTCATTCCGAACTCATGGCAGGATTGGTCTCCCAGAGGTGGATTAGTTAACAACCCATCGTAGGCTGGACAACTCCTAGAACAAGTTGTGCCATAATCATAGTAAAATATTTTTTCTTTGGGCAGCCAAACCAGTTCTTGAGTGCCTTAACTATATATCAAATACAGTCCCGCCTTGGAATCTGCCCCCACCCCAATATCTTCATAATTTGAAAAAACAGACAAGTAAATCCTCACTATACTATGTTTTCTATCCTCAGTGTTGCATCAGATAATATCCTGGAAAAGCTTGATTGCAGGATGGGTCCTATCACATCTGCTTTCTTGCCCCAAGATGCTTTTTTACTGCATCATGGAGATAAAGGAATGATGAATGGGAGATCCTTTGGTAGTCCCATAACCTGGGCATAGTTGCTCATGGAGTCTCCACATGCTGGAAAAGAGCATTGAGGACACTCATATAAGGCAAAGACACCCGGGAAGTTGTAGGAGATGCTCAGCTGAATTGGCAAGGTGCACATTTGCTTGGAAATGTTAGCTAGTTTGGAATCGGTGGGATGGTCACTTGTTTTTACAAGCAGCTTGCTTTGCTAAGTTGCTCTGAGGGTCTGTCCGTCCCCAAACCTTGAATGAGTGGTTGTCTTGGCTTTTTCTTGGTGAAGTTTATACCCATCTTCATGCTTTCCAAGAACCTCCCAAAGAGTGATTTGAGCAAATCCTAACAGAGAGTGGGCTAGCAGCTGGCATTTTAAGTGCTGAAATGGGTATTTTGAAGGCACTAAAATAAACAAGGCACAAGTGAGACTAGGTTGGCAGTTTCTTCTGTTTTACTTTGGTTCACATTGGCATGCATGCCAGATGGCTGCTTCTATAATAAACTGAATGCCTCTCAGTATTTCGATGCACTACATTTTGTAGTTTACTGGATGTCTATTATTGTGTTTGGCAAAGAAAAAACGAATTGGGAATGCAAAGCTCCGTAGTGACTTCAACCAGCACTGTGCCCCTTACGAAGCATAGCAATGGCTGGGCTTGCCTGCTACATTCTGTCACTGGGCAAAGGCATTTTGTCTTTGCAGATGCGCAGTTCCAGAGCTGCAGTTCTTCAGTATCTAATAGTGCTACTGGGGAACGCCTTTTAAGCCTGGCTTTAGACATAGAGAAGGGAGGCTGCATGGTGGTGACTGCTCCAGGACCCAGGACAGCTAATGGCTAATCCCTCCCCAGCCATGCCGTTGTATATTGGGTGAATAGATGCCAAAAGATGCCATAAAGGCTGAAGGAAATCTTACGCATATTGGAGGCTGGATCATGACACACAGTCTACCTTGCCCACTTTTGTCTCTTCGGATTTGCACTGGTTCTTCAGGGTGCTGGAAGGAGTCCTTCCACAAGGTCTCCATCTAACTTCAGGTTCTGACATGGCCGCAGAGCTGTGGCTGTACTCTTTTTCTTAGATCTTTTTCCTGTCTGCCTCGGGTTCTGTTTCTTCACTATGAAAGTAAATGTAGTCATTGTCATGGCTACACAAATGAACTGTGAACTAAGGCATTTGCTTCTGAAAAGAACAAAATTTCACTTCTGAACTAGCTCTAGAGGCGGACTTGAGTTACTCCCTGTCAGCCCCTCCTCTGCCATTTGAAGATTAATACTGGCCTATTTTGTGGAACTATTATAAGGATTCCGCAAATGCATGTGAAATCCTTTGAACTTTGTGACTTGCTGTTAATACCAAATATAATAATGGAAGTGTTGGTCTTCATCTGAGTCTTCTGATGCTCCGAGACATATTACTTAGATATGTATAGTTGAGTATTTTATTCCACTAGCTAGAGAAAAGTTTGTTTCAGCGTAATTCTGATTTTATAATGTGTGATTTAGTGGAGGGTTTTGGATAAGGCCGTGTTGCAATCCTTAACTGTAAATCATTGTGAATGAAAGTGACAAGGGTGTTCCTGCATCGGAAGGAAGAACTGCCTCTTTTTCCCCCCCTCCGCTCTAGTCCTAATCCCAAGCTGGAGGCATTTTGAGGCCACTGAATAAGAAAGATACATTCAACGTAGTAGAACTTGCTCCTCTTTGAATGAAGAGAGGTTTGCTTTTGGACAGACCCACCATGCTTGCCATATGCTGTGTGTAGGCTCCCTTCAACAATGTTTTCTTTTCACCCTCTCAGCCGTCCTGACGTTGAGCTCCTAGTCCACATGCTGTTGCATCAGTGGTTCCCATCTGGGAACTCCTCCCGTGTGCTGCCCCTTTGGAGTCCGGAACATTTTCCTCACCTGGCCATAATGGTGTCTGGTCTGCCAGCACTGTTTGGAACTTCTGCTCAGGTTTCACGTGACGGTGGTACACACAATAAGCTTTAAACCTGACCAGACTTCACTGTCCTCCTGCCAGGTGTGTGCACTCTGGAGCCCCCGTTTTACATAGTGACCGAATACATGCCCTATGGGAACCTGCTAGACTATCTGCGGGAGTGCAATCGGGAAGAAGTAACTGCTGTTGTCCTGCTGTACATGGCCACCCAGATATCTTCTGCTATGGAGTACCTGGAAAAGAAAAACTTCATCCACAGGTGGGCAGGATACCTTGGCTTCTGTGGAAGAGGGGCACGAGAGAAAATCTGTTTTTGGGGTATGCCTCTGCCATGCATTTTGTTACCCTGAAAGGTGGCCTTTTGTGAGAAACTCTGAGAACACCTGAGTAGGATCTTTTAAATGAGGAGTTTTACTTTCGATGTGATCCCAGCATTTCTGTCTCAGCTAGATAGCCTTAGAGAGAACAGCTGACACCAAGCTTTATATTCTCTTCAGCATCCAAGGCAGTGTGCCCGCTCAGGGCTAGTGGCGAGGGAATAGGAGCTTGAGGGTTTGCAGGGGATGGGGTATGAGGCGAGACTGAGGGAACTGGGTCTCTTCAGCCTGGAGAAGAGGAGACTCGGAGGGGATCTGTTGGCGAGGGGATGTCACATGGAGATGGGTAGAGACCTGTTCTCCCCTGCAGAGGAAGGCAGGACGTGCTCCAACGGAGCAAAGCTCAGGGAGCCAAGCTTCCATTTGGATGCCAGGAAGCAGTCAGGACCCCGAGGGTGTGGAATGGGCTTCCACGAGAGGTTGTTGAGGCCCCATCGGTGAGGGTGTTCAAGGATAGGCTGGACGTCCACATGGTGGGCATGTCGTGAGTGGAGCCGGCTGGTGCCGCAGGTCAGACTAGATGGCCCGGGAGGCCCCTTCTGACTCGCTCTGTTTCTGTGTCTATGTTTCTATGTTTACCTGCTTGAGCCTCGGTGAGACAGAGTACCAGTAAGATGCACCTTTGGTCCAGTCCAGCAGGGATCTTTCTGTGTTTTTACCCAAAACTGAATATATTCTGCAGGCTTGGTGCACAATCTTGGGCTCTTGCCTTTCATTTGAGGGGAAAACTGCAAAGTTCTAACTTGTCATCTAGAAAAGTTTGAATGCATCATTTTTTAATATATGAAGGCTCTGAAAGGTTGGAACAGAACTTTGCTGCCTGTATCTCCCACAGTCATGCCAACTCTTCCCTTCATCTGCCAACCCTAGTCAAAATCCTGCAGCACATTCAACTACAATCTGTATATTCTACTTATTTTTAAAAAATTATATCTTGCCACCTGATTTGTACAGAAAAGTAAACCTTGTTAGGATGCTGAAGTAAAATTAAGCTACTCCTTTGCTTGACATGCAGAATGTAGAACTTAAATGCCCTTGGTGCAGCATTCATGGTACCTTTTAATGCAGAACAACACGTCCCTCTTCCAAGAATTCTTTGTTATTGCCCTGAGAACTGTATTTCAGCTGTACTTGCTTAGCTATTTAAGACTCCCTCAAAGGAGAAAAGTAATTACAGTTTGTACTCTAAAGGGTCCTCTCCTGGAGGATGCATTCTTCTGTTGTGCCACACATTTGTCTGTATTCAAAACTGCACCCTGGTCTGGCACAAGCAAAAACCACAAATTTTGGAAGCTAAACCACTTCAGGCCAGAAGCAAATAGGAATCAAACACCTTATACTTGCTAGTTCCCTGCTTAAATCTCAAAGAAGCAAATAAGAATATTTACTGTGTCCATGTGTCATTAGCTGTTAAGGTTATAAACCTCATCGGTCACTCCCTTCCTCATTCCATGTTCATGCTTACAATGCATTCCATTAAAAGCATCCCTGTGAAAGGCGGCAGAGTGATCCAGGGTGTAGCACTGAGTTGTCTTCATTCTGAGTAACGGGAGTGGTTTTATTCGGGATGATGAGTTTGGTAACTGATCACATCAGCACCTGTAACTTGGCAGTATTTTTGCTTACACAGAGATCTAGCAGCCCGCAATTGTTTGGTTGGAGAAAATCATGTGGTAAAAGTGGCTGATTTTGGATTAAGCAGACTGATGACTGGAGATACATACACGGCTCATGCTGGAGCAAAGTTTCCTATCAAATGGACAGCCCCTGAAAGTCTGGCCTACAACACATTCTCAATCAAATCAGATGTTTGGGGTAAGACAGGAGAAGACAATCCTCTTTAGGTGCTACATCTAAGGGGTGGCATAGAAATGTTCTAATAATATTAATAATAACAACAACAACATCCTTGTATGCATATAAACCTGCCCTATAAGCCAGGTTGGCCAATTCCTTCATTCTCGGGATCAGCTCTCATTGGTGATTCAGGAGCTAGGAATGTTTCTTGCCTAATGCACTGGGGTTGTAGAGAACTATTGGCACCGCCTAGAAGTAAGGTCTTCCCAGTTACGTGGCACGTGCAGTTTGGCACTTTTGGGGATCCGCAGAACCCAACCCAAACATTGTTTTCCTTTATGAAGTGGCCAACACCTTAAGTTTTGTCCACCAGAGCCTAAAATGCCCTTGTGGCCAGTTGGCTCCTGCACAGGTTGGATTTTACCCTTCCGTCCTCTTAACAAACAGTTGTTAGAAGTTCCACATCCACATCTCCAAAAAACAAACCAACCCAGCCCTGCAAACGAACCCACAGCATCTAATTTGGGATATTGCCTTCAACAAGAGGAAGCACTTGTGTGTTTGTGGTGTGGAAAAGCCTGGCTGAAAATGATCTTGTTTGACTTGCAGCCTTCGGAGTGTTGCTGTGGGAGATTGCCACTTATGGGATGTCGCCCTATCCTGGCATTGACCTCTCTCAGGTTTATGATCTCTTAGAAAAGGGTTACCGGATGGAACAGCCTGAGGGTTGCCCCCCAAAGGTCTATGAACTCATGAGAGCATGTGAGTATTGTGTCCTCATTTCTACTTTTGGGAGCAAAATGCATGAAGGGTGGTAACGGAGGCTCCCAATAGGCAACGGAGGTCCTGCTGGCTTCAACCTGGTGCGCATTATTTTCCCAATAGACAGTTATCAGCCTGTGGGCATGCAGCCAGTTTCTTGTTCACAGAACAATTTCTGGAGACTTGTCACCAGCCGACTTCTTTGGTAAAGACTATAACAGAAGCATCAGCTGGAGTGGTCCGTGTACTCTGTCCACCAGTGAGGGATTTGTGGGATCTTATGATACCTACTGGAACAACGTGAACAAAATCGCATCACCTCCTGGTGACAAAGCAAGCCGTGTTTCTGTTAAAACCCTGGGACTGGAGCTGAAGTCAATCTCTCCAGACTACAGTGTATGATCGTTTATCTCCCTGTTTCCCTAACCTTGAACTTACACAAATTAAACAGCAGCAAAAAATGAATTCCTGAATTCCTGCACCTGTGCATGAAAAGTTGTACAAATTCGTCCAGTTTACAGAATACTAGGATTCTGAATTATGAGGCAATTTTTGGTTCTCTGCATTTTGGTGTTCACTAATACTGCTGGCGTCATTTCCCAAGCAGGCACAACAGGTGAAAGCCATGAAATAGCTGTTTGATGGTGATTTGAGCATGACTTTTAAATCAAACAGTTAATACGGAAGTGGCTGCATTTTATGAGACAGTTTTATTTCTTTAGAACTGGATCTGCCAGGTAGCAGATGATGCCAGATTTATGGGATTAAAATAATAAGAGAGTGATACGCTCTTGCACGATCTTTCCAAGTGGAAAACAGTATCAAGGTGTGCGTAAGAGTGAAGTACATTAGGACAAAACAATCTTGGCTTCACATATGTGCTGACTGGGTTTATATTGGCTGTGATCTAGAAAAACAGTATTGGGTCATAGCATAAAACGCAATGAAAAATTAGCTCCATGTGTCACAGGAGTGCCAGTTCACTGACTGGAATTAGTAGGAAGGACTTACAGATGTCAAGTATAATATAGATTCACTGTGAAATACATTCTTTAAAAAACATGGCTTACAGCCCAATATAAAACTGCACTGTGATACTAAAAATGGTCCAGGAAGCACCACAACACAGCAAAATAAGCACTCAAATCTTCAAAACTAAAGCAATTGCAGATTGTAAAAGAGGGAGAATATCTTAAGACAAAGAGCAGAAGAGGACACTTCTCAGTCCATTGCAAAGATGCCTCTGAAAAGTCACATCTTGATTTTGATTTGGTATGTAAAATACTTTCTGTCTTGAGGCTAGAAAAATATTCCCAAGGCTTGACACAGTACTCAGAAAGGACCTGCTTTTATAGGTACTTGCCATACTTTGGTGCTAGAAGAATCTGAAGTAGATCCTTAAATACTGAATAATAAATTACAGGAGGAAAAGAAAGAACAACAGTCCTTGAGGTGCCCTGGTCCAGAACCATTTTGGGCTTTAAAGGGGAACAAAAACCTCAGCACTTTAAAATCGAGCCCAGAAATGAAGGGGCAATAACCCGAACAGATCCAATGGCACTGGGGAGATTTGCTCAAGCTGCCATACTTTGGCCAGCAGCCTGGTGGCGGCATTTCCTGCCAGCTTAAATTTTCCGGCAATTTAAGAATAGCTCCATGCAGGCCACGTTACAATTATCCAGTCACATGAATGGCCGTGGCCAGGCCATAAAGGCATTTTCTACATCTTAGGTGCAGCTGCATTCCAAGTATTAGCTACAGTTCTGTTTGTTCTGTCTCAAAAGTCAGGCTAATGGATGAAGTACAGAAAAGAACAACAGAAATAACCAGGGGAGAGGCATACCTTCCTGACAGAGCACAAGTAAAAAACTTGACCTCTTTTGTTCTGAAGAAAGATAACAAAGATTATGAATGAATGGTACAGAGAAGGTCCCATTGGTCTTAATACCAGAAATTAATGACACGGATTTTAGGAAGCACAGGACTGCCATGCCTCTGCTGGGGAAATCCTCCTCGGATGCCTTCTCCAAGTTGCAGGCACAGGTGCCGTTGCACCATCCGAGTCAGAAAGCCAGAGGCCGCCTGGCTGCAGGGGACTGCCTCCGAGGTGGAGACCGAAGCACCCCTTGCTCCCTGGGAGCATCCCCACCCCAAGCAGCAATCAAGCGGGGCTTCTGTGGGAAGGCACCGCTCAGGAGACAGCAGCTCCTCCTGGCAGCAGAACTCTCACGAACTTCAGGCAAGCCCTGGGTGGGGCTCAGCCGACTCTGGCTACTTAGGCTCCTCACACCTGCCTGGCCGTGCTGAAAACAACACTGTTGTTCAGTTCGGGTGCCTTCTGCCTTGTTTCCTGGACCTCTCCTTGACATTTGACAGTGTGCTACTGACCCTTGGACTCCCGCTTGACTCTGCTCCTGATGGTGGAGTGTGTTTGGCTTCTTCGCCATGCTTTGACCTTTGCTTCTACTTGGACCATTCCTGCCTGCCTGATTTCTTACTGGACAAAAACCTTTGTGCTCATCTGTTCTGTGACCTTGCTTTTTGGATTGCCTCATGAGTCAGAGTCTGCTTCAGCCAAAGCAGGGTAACCAAAAGCCACCAAAAGAATGTAGCTTGTTATTCAGCGTATAACCTCCTGAATTCTTTGCCACAAGGTGTTGTACGTGATTGCCTAAGCCTGTATTAAAGCCACGTAAACTTTAGATTATGTGGCTTTAATACAGGTTTAGGCAAATTCTTGAAGGATTGGCAGCTGTTCCCCCCAATAACCAAGTTGATGGATATGTTTCTGAATCCTTGGCCCTGGGGACGAACAAGAGGAAAAGACTGTTGTCGTCTTGGACTTCCCAGAGACACCTGGATGACCACTTGTGGGAAAAGAATGAAGTACTGTAAAACCCTGACCAATAAAAAGTAGCAGGGGAAGCACCTTTTGCTCTGTGACAGGGCAGTGTGGCTGGAGTTCCAGAAGTGGGTGCAGATGCACTCCTCACTCGTGGCTTTCCTGCTTCTCAAATGGGGGACGTGGCAATGTCCTCTTGTCTGTTTCTTTCATGCCATAGGCTGGAAATGGAATCCGCTGGACAGGCCTTCCTTTTCTGAAACTCACCAAGCCTTTGAAACCATGTTCCATGATTCCAGCATCTCTGAAGGTAAGAATTTATTTTTGCTGTCTTTCTTTCAACCTTCTATAAACTTTCCACCTTTTAATGGAAACTCTTCCACTGAATTCTGCAGATGTTTTTGCTCACCTTTCTAGCAAATGAAAATAAGGTGCCTCTCTTCAAACTGACCACTGGATTCTAAACTTTGGCCTGGTTTGGAGTGGCATTATGGGAATAAGCAAAGAGACGACTTGGCATTACACTCATTCCAAGTTTCCTTTGAGAGCAACCATGAACACACGCTTTAAAGCAACAGCAGCACACATACAGTCTGTCCAGTCCCCAGGTGCTTTTGGTCCCTTGGGAGTAACTAGCCAAGGATCTCACAGTGCGCTTTTGTGCTGGGCTTTTTTGCAGCCCACCTGTATCCTCAGGAGAGCACAGCTGGATTGCCGCTTGTACTCATCCTGTTGTGTGCAGCCCAACTGCTGAAACAAAGTCATCTGTCCCAAACGCTTGGTGTCCCTCTTAGGAACCTCCCTTCTCACCCTGTCTTATTAACCATCTTGCCATTAATTATGTGAACTGGGCCAGTGTGAAAGGCACAAGATTTGGACCTTCTGAGTTTTACAGGTGGTTGCAAAATTTATCTATCTATTGACATGCAGATCCTTTTTATTTCTAACATGTTTTTCCCATTTATCTGTTTAAAATGATTGAGGAACTCTCTCTGATTCAGTTAGTCAAATTGAATAGCAGCAGATACAATGGAATCCATTGAAAGGAGCTGAAAAGACTTCTGAAATACAGCCATTCTCACTCCTCGCTTATTGAAAAGCATGTTGGGACATCACAGTTGATCTTTCTTGTTTCCCTTTGTACTGCTTATTTAAAAACACGCCATGAATCCAAAATATATATGGATTTATTTTATATGATACAAGTAGTTACACAGTGGCTTTGTAGTGTTTCTATTCCGCTGTATTCTGGGTGGCTTTGTAGAAAACAGAGAAGCAACGATTAAGCAAAGTTTGAGTTACTTTTGCTGTTGCTCTCCAACCTTCTGGTCTTGTGCAGAGCATTGGGAGGGGGACATGCTATGGACAGGATGTGCATCCTGCCAGAAAGAATACTCTTATTTCCTCTACTGCCTGCCCCAAGGCCTAGAAACTTGAGTAGCCCATACTTCTTTGCACTGCCTCGTCCCTCCTCTGCCATGCCCTCTGATTTCTTGTCCCAGGCAAGGAGTTGTTCATGTTTGTTAACACACAGTGAACCTCAGAACTCTCTGGCGTCTTGTTCATGCTTACATCTGGCTGAATGTTTCTCCTGCAAAAAGGCTCTTGCTGCCGTTTTGGCATTTTGACACCCATAATACCCGCTGCTTTTTAATATTGCATGTAATATTGTCATGGTCTCACTGAATCTCTCAGTGGTGTTTCTTTTTCCCTTGCCCAGTGCCTCTTAGTACCCAGAGCTGCTTTCCTCTTCCCTTGCTGCTCAGTGTTCCAGTTACTCCCCTGACATTTCTTACAGAAGTGGCCGAAGAACTTGGACGGACAGCATCCTCGTCATCGATCGTCCCTTATCTGCCGCGGTTGCCCATGCTGCCTTCCAAGACCAGGACCTTGAAGAAGCAGGCAGAAAACAAAGAGAATATTGAAGGAGTCCAGGAGTCCATGGAACATCCTGCTTCCAGCTCTGCGCCAGGTAAGCTGCGTAAGCACAGATCTGAGGCTTTGAGTGCTGCATCTTCCTCAGAGGAGCCTCCTTCGGTCCAGGATCTGGTTGCCAGAAGGCAGTGCTTTGCAGACAGAACTGGCCCTGGGCTGGAGCATCTCACCCTTCCTCTCCGGGCTGGTTCTTTCATGGAGTGGCATCCAGCCTCATGTGAGCAGGTGCCCCCTTTTCTCATCCCCCCGCCCTACACCCCGTACTTTCAGATCTGTTCTGGAAGGGTCCCCCTACTTTCAGGGGACTGCAAGGGGGGATCTGTTCAGCCAGTGCTGCCTGATCCACTTAAGTGAGGGGGGATGCAGTTGAATGCAGCGCTCTCTTTGTGGAAGAAAGAGGCAGACTTATACCAGTTACCCAGGGTATGTGCTGAATCTTTTTAAAGCAGTCCAAGGTGAGAAAAAGAACGGGAGGAGAAGGGTTGAGAGCAAAGAGCTGCACGTGAGTCCCCACTGTTTTTCTTGGCCCGCAGGTGGCTGGCTTGAGCAAGACTGGCAGCGATAGCGGCCTCTTTTTCACCCGTACCCGGGAGAGCAATGTGCCAGAGCACGTTTGGGGGGATGTATAATCAGTGCTCCGTGCACATTGACACGTCCGGCTTGATCCCTCGGGCTGTGCCCTTGCCGCTTGGAAGCCACTGAACTCTGCTTCCGAGATTCTCGTGCGGGGCAGGAGGCATGGTGCAGCCGGTGTTTGTTTCCCTGCCCTTTGCTCGGCTGTACTGTGCAGGACAGGCTTGTCCGGGGAGGGTGCGGGAGGGCAGGGGAAGCAGGCCGCAAGAGCAGTAGAGTAACTGGCCGACCTGTCCTATCACCCCCACTCCTTACCCACCGAGACGCCTCCTTTGCATTGCCTCAGAGGTCACTTTCCTGACCTCAGAGGAACAACTGGTGTGGGTTCTTCTCTTGCCGACTGCAAGGGGGAAGGGTCTGGGGATCAGTCCTCTAACGCCTCCCTTCTCTGTAGTAGAGTTTCCAGAGCCACCCTATGATCCCTGGGATATTCACCCGGACACCAAAGGATGGCTTTCTAAATCGTTCAGCAGACCCAGGCAAAGTAGGATAAAGGTCAGAGCCAACCAGCCAGTTTTGCTGTGTGACACAGCAAATGCCTGCTGCTCTAATGTAGCAAGCTAAAAACGTCTTGCAAAGAGAGAGAGAAAGAATAGGGTAGTGTGCTTTTCCACTCTAAATAGGAGTGCTTTAAGCAATATAAATACCTGTTAGAAAAGTTGTCTTATGTCGTCCGCTACAGAAGGAACACTTGTCAATATACCCAGAGCAAGAAGCACAGACTAAGACATGAGATCTAACAGGAGTGTGTGCTGAGTGGGGCTAACACCGCTCTGTAGGACTTAGTGGGAGCGACTGAGAAGAATGTAAGAGTCCTGCAGTCTTGCAGGCGGCTGGAAGGGGTGTCAGTCCTTCGCATCCCAGAGGTTGGGGCCATCAGTAAAGCTCCCCAAACTAGAAGAAGAGTTTCAGCATCGTATGTATGCCTGCACCTTGTCCCTTGAGGGGCCAGTCACATTTTGGAGGCAGGATTCTAGGACTGCAAGGGCTGTGGCCCTAATGCTTCGTGGAAATTGCTGTAGCTCCTGTTTCTGTCTAGTGATGTGCTGAGCAACTTCCTGACATAAGCCCACAGAGGATAAACCCAGGGCTTGGCTTGGCTTGGCTTGGCATAGTCTCATTCCTAGGCATTGCAACACTTTGCAGTGTGTCGTAAAGTGTGCATTCTCCCCCTTTCTCTAGGTTTGATCAGAAGCACACAGCAGACCAGCAGTTCCCCAGCACTACCTCGCAAGCAGAGAGACAAGTCTCCCAGTGGCTTGTTGGAAGACCCCAGAGAGACAACCTTTACCAGAGACAGGAAAGGTGGCTTCTTTAGCTCTTTCATGAAGAAGAAGAACGCTCCCACACCTCCGAAACGCAGTAGCTCCTTCCGCGAGATGGAAAATCAGCCTCATAAGAAGTATGAGCTGACAGGTAACTTTTCCGCAGTGGGTCCTTTGCAGCATATCGATGGAATTCCTTTCACGCCCGCCCAGCAGGACGGGACCCTTGGCTCATCCAAGTGCTACATGGGAGGCTTTGCACAGCAGAACTTCTGTGGTGAGGGGGGTGGCAGCGGGGGCACAAGCAGTGGTGGGGGCACGGGCACTGGCGGCGGGTGGTCTGGTATCACAGGATTCTTTACTCCACGCCTGATTAAAAAGACTCTGGGTTTGCGAGCCGGGAGGCCCATTGGCGGTGAAGATGCTGCAAAACCCTTTCCCCGCTCCAATTCAACATCTTCCATGTCTTCGAGCCTTCCTGAGCAGGAGAGAATGGCCATGACCCTTCCCCGGAATTGCCACAGGTCAAAGGTCCAGCTGGAAAGGACAGTGTCCACTTCCTCCCAGCCAGAGGAGGACACAAGCAGGTCCAGTGATTTGCTCTGCAAACGGTGTGAAGAAGCCCCTACTCTAACCAGGGACCGACCGAAAGCCAAACTTCTGCCGAGAGGCACTGCGGCTGTTTCCCTCAAGACCCCCTCCGTGGATGCGGCTGCTTCAGAGAAGGACGTTCTTCAGGGGCCAACCGCCATGGCAAGCCTGAAGAGCAAGGAGAAGAACAACAGTGTCCGTCAAGGGTCAGTCGAAGGCGACGAGAAGCCAGCCTGGCCTTCTCCGACCAAGGCTGCCGCAATACTTCCGGCCACTCACAACCACAAAGTGCCCGTCCTCATCTCGCCCACTCTCAAGCACGCTCCAGCAGAGGTGCAGCTCATTGGCACGGACTCTCAGGGGAACCGGTTCAAGCTCCTGTCTGAGCATCAGGTTGCTGCTTCCGGGGACAGGGACAGGCCCAGGCGCATCAAGCCCAAGTGTGCTCCGCCTCCGCCGCCGGTCATGAGGTTGCTGCACCAGCCTCCCGCCTGCTCAGATCCCACCGAGGAATTGAATAACGGCGCTCTGGCGCAGCTCGGGCCAGACGCGGGCGAGGGCGGCAGGAAGGCAGTGGTGCCGCCTGCGGGGGGCAAAGTGAGCCGGCCCGCCGTGCCTCCCCCTCAAGTGCCTCTGCCCTCGTCTTCCACCTCGCCCGCCAAAATGGCCAACGGCACAGCGGGAGCCAGAGTGGCGCTGAGAAAGACCAAACAGACGGCCGAGAGGATCTCCGCAGACAAGATCAGCAAGGAGGCGCTGCTGGAGTGCGCAGGCCTCCTCTCAAGTGCCCTTGCGGAGCCCACCACAAACAGCCAGCTGGTGGACACGGGGCACCAGCTCTTGGATTACTGCTCAGGCTATGTGGACTGCATCCCCCAAACCCGCAACAAGTTCGCCTTCCGGGAAGCAGTGAGCAAACTGGAACTCGGCCTGCAGGAGCTGCAGGTGTCCTCGGCAGCTGCCAGCATGCCTGGAGCAAACCCTGTACTGAATAACTTATTGTCGTGTGTCCAAGAAATCAGTGACGTTGTCCAGAGGTAGCTACTGTCCAATCATGTGGTTAGGAGGAGAAAATGTACACAGAACGGAGGGAGAAGGGTCAGGATAACGTCTTCGGGTGGTTTTCTTTTCCTCCAACGTTGATGCTTTCGAGTGGAGAGACTGATACTTGAGTAAGTTTTATGTGAAGTACCTCAGATCGCTGAGCTCTCGTGTTTACAGGTTCATCTCAGTACATGGGGCAGATGGGAGGGAAGCCGAGCTCTGTGGGGACGACACGGTTGTGGCGGAGTAGGGCTGAATGTCGCCAATTTGCCCTGGCAGAGAACACCCCACCAGAAGCGGAGCCGGTGCTTCCATTCCTCATCCGGGAGGCGGGAGGGACGGTCTGGGGAAGGCGCTGCGGTTCTCTGTGACGCTGTTCAGTTGGCCTGAATTATTGGAGAGGGAGTGGGGGATTTTTTTCTGCGCTGCTCATGTGTTGACCTGAGATCATGGCAGAAAGGTTCAGGGACCCCTTGGAACTGGGGCCCGCTGAAGCTCCTAAGAAGAAGGTGTTCAGTTTGGGGGAGGCTCGCGGTTCATATGCCTGCCGGGGCTGCAGGAAGTGAATGCACTCGGCCCCCTGGCAGATCTCCCACCGTGTGCTCTGCTGCCGCAGTCGGGGATGGAAGAATGAACTGATCGATGAGACTCGTCCTTTTTGTCCTGGTCCTCACGCCTCTCCCCCCCCCCCCCCCCCCCCCCCCCCCCCCCACACACACACACACCCCTGCTCCTTCACAGCCTCTGGATGATGGCTGGGCAGACGTGGCCCCGGATTTCACACAATCGCCCCCCACACTCAGACTGGCTGTTGTCACCATTTCGGTAGTGTAGCACGGGTGTCTAACCTTGGAATCCCTTGAGTAGTTTGGGGCTGTAGCGCAGATTTACCAGCATGTATCCAAAAGCTGTTAAACGACGTTTTCAGAATGTTGGTACCACACTCGATAAATGTTGAACAGGTCACCCTGGATTAAAGGCACTCCAGAATGCTGCTGCTCTCTACATTCCTTTTTAAATTATTGCTATTATTATTATTAATTATTATTATTATTATGCTGACACTAATCCAGCTGTTTTTGAGGGAACTTGAGACTATGATGTCATCTGTTGCTAGGATTACACATGGACTCCCAGGGTACCTAGTCAGGGACATTACTGTATCATTCGTATTCCAATCCAGCAGTTTGCTTCACTCAGAACTTCAGCACATGGCTTGATATTCCAGGAATGCCCTGCCAGGATAGCATTGCTGGAAGCGAAAAACTAGTGGGGTGGAAGACCGTTCCCTGCCATCCACGCACCATAGCACCATTCAGTGGGCAAAGCATGGAAGGTTCTAGGATGCTCGTGGGCAGTGCGGTGGGGTGCATGCATGGTGCTTCCTCCATCAGGCCGAGGGCATCGCGTGCTGCCAGTGCCCCGTTCGCAATTGTCCCGTTTCACTTCGATCTGACCAAGTCAAGCGCCCATATGGCATTCCTGCAATATTAAAACACCTTGACCCAGTTCACCTGTTCCGACAACCCATGGTTACGGAGATGGAGTGGAATGTGCCCAGCCCTTCCCACTTCCATAAACAAGCCAGGGATGCCCATTCTTGGGCTGCTTACTGTGACATCCCAATCCTGAATTCTGGCATCTGAACAACCAAGATTCCTCGGTTCTGATGTCACAGAAACAGTCCACGAACAAGGGGTTCCTGGGTTTTGTTAGACTGCAGAATGCGGCGGCGGGGGAATGCCTTTCACTTGCTCCCGCTGCATTTTCAGCACCCCACTGCTTGTTAGCCTTGAGTTCACCTGAACCAGCTTGGTGCCGTCAGGATACTGGGATGTTCACTCCATCGTGTGGCCAAGTAAGTGTGCAAAAAGCAGGCTACAGTTGGCCTCCTTGTCTTTGGGGATTCCTTATCCTCCCTTAGGAAATCTCCAAATTTAGATCAAATTTACAGTTTACCTGTTAGACTTACAGTATGTGTAAAGTCTATAGCTTGCTGCTGTTCATCAGGCCATCTCTTTAAGAAATGTGAGAACGTGGACCCTCGAGTGTTTGGTATACTGAGTTGCGATTTGTCCCTCATTCAGTCAGTGCTGAAGTTACTGCATGGAAAGGTTGAGAGCAATTGGATTTTCTCTGGTAAGTAATATGTATTTCTTAGGTGTGAGTATCCTGTGAGAAATCAGCCCAATGAGTAAAAGCCTTGCTAATGCTCACGAGGGGGAGAAGGGGTGCGGTTTTTCTGTCCCCACGCTGAAGCGATCACACACACACACACACACACACACACACACACACACACACTGCAGCCCATTTGTCCCTGTGTGTTTGTCAGTACCATCTCTTCTTCTGTAATCAGTTTTTTTTAGGATCTGATTTGCTGTGCACCTTAATCTTTTCAAACTTGACATTTTCAGAACTTAAAGTATTGAACATTAAACATTCAATGCTGTGCTGCTTTTTTTAAAAAATGGAGCTCCTGGTGGTGGTAGAAGGATGTGAATTTGTCCTACTTCTTTGCTTTTTCTTTATAAGAAAGGAAAAGAAATAGAAATAGAAACAGAAACAGAGCGAGTCAGAAGGGGCCTCCTGGGCCATCTAGACTGAGCCCCGGCTCCACTCACGACATGCCCACCACGTGCATGTCCAGCCTATCCTTGAACACCCGCACTGATGGGCCTCAACCACCTCCCCCGGAAGCCCATTCCACGCCCTCGGGGTCCTGTCAGGAAGTACTTCCTGGCATCCAAGTTGAACCTTGGCTCCCTGAGCTTTGCTCCATTGGAGCGCGTCCTGCCCCCCTCTGCAGGGAAGAACAGGTCTCGCCCCACCTCCCTGTGACACCCCTCACATATCTGTATGTTGCCACAATACTCGAGTTGTGGGCTCACCAGAGTCGTATAGAGTGGCAGGAATAGCTCTCTCGATCCAGAAGCCATGCTTCTGGCTGTGCATCCCAGGGTGGCGTTCGCCCTCTTGACCACCGCATCACACTGCTGACTCTTGTTTAGCCTGCAGTTGACTAGCACCCTGAGGTCCCTTTCGCAAGTGCTGCTCTCCAGCCACTTGTCCCCTAACCTGTACTTATGACACCCATTCCTGTGCCCCAAGACCTTGCACTTATCCACACTGAACGCCATCCTGTTGTCTCCTGCCCACTTCCATAGTCTGTCCAGATCCTTTTGGATCTGGAGTCCCTGCTCCTCAGTTGTGGTCGCTGCTCCGGTTTTAGTTTCATCTGCGAATTTGATTAGAGACTGTTCACCCCTTCTCCCATGTCATTGATGAAAAGATTAAACAGGATCAGCCCCAGGTTTCGCCCAGACTGCCTCTGCCGAATCCCCATCTGTGCTGCATTCCATCTCACTGCATCCCATCCCTTCCCTGATGTATAAAGCCATGCCCCCACCTCTCTTTCCCTTCCTGTCCTTTCTAAACAGGCGATGCCCCTCTATGAAATAACCACGTCCTGAACCTTGAGAATATAGAAAGCTCCCCCAGAGACAGAAAATGCTTGGAGGGGATTTGGGCATACATGCGGAAGCAGGAGTCTGCAATCCCCTACTCCCTCCGTTGGTTCTTCACTCACTGCTCCTTCACGTCAAATGTTCTCCTATGTTGTGGGAAGGGAAAGCAGGAGGAATGAGCTGCCGGAGGGACGTGTGATCTGCAACAGAGTGCAGCCTGTTCAGGATGTAAGCCTCTCTATTCTCCCCCCACCCCAAAAGAGTCAGTATCACATTCCATAGCCTCTTACTCGGTGGGGTGTTTTGCGTCTGTCCTCCCCAAGAGCTGGTTTCCAAGTCTCCTGTTCCCCACATAATGACAATCATTGTGTGCTAAGCTGTTAGAAACTCAAAGTGCTACTGCATCATGTTCTGCACATCCTTGTTAATAAGGTTTTCTGTGGGTCCAGGCAGAGGACATACAGGCATCGTCTGAACCAGGGGTCCTCAAACTTTTTAAACAGGGAGCCAGTTCACTGTCCCTCAGACTGTTGGAGGGGAGACACTGTAGTTTGAAAAAAATATGAACAAATTCCTATGCACACTGCACATAACATATTTGTGGTGCAAAAAAACCAGGAAAAAATACAACATTTCAAATGAAGAACAATTTTAATCAGCATAAACTTGTTAGTATTTCATTGGGAAGTATGGGCCTGCTTTTGGCTAATGAGATGGTGACACGCCAGAAACATGTCCACAGCAACACAATGAGTATAAAACTGATATGATTAGGACCATTGCTGCAGAGAACAATCATAAGCTCATCATGAGGACAGAGCTCATTTACATAGGTGGTAGTGTGATCCACAGGATTGCTTTTTGGAAAGCAGTGGACAGGTGGCGATGAAGTGAGCTGTTGCTTCCACACCACCTGTTTTAACTGCCATTTCCAATAGCAACCAAATGACACTAATAAATCTGCACTCACATCAGTGCACGCCCATAGAAATGCATGGCGTGTGGCATCCTACATCAAAATTTGCATTATAATTTATTTTTCACGAGCAAAAATGAGAGATGGAGGGAAGCAACTTCTGAATCTGCTAAAAATTATGATTTTTTTAAATTAAAAAAAATAAAACAGCTTAAAAAAAAGAGAAACCCACAGAATATCCACTAGGTCCTGCAACCCAAGTCCATCTCTACAAATTATGTCTCTGCATATAGTTTGTAAAGATGGACTTGGGTTGCAGGACTTAGAAACTCACTGAATATTCACTATGTTTAAACCCGTGTTATATATAATTTTTTTTAATTAAAACATGTTTGCTCCACTCGCTCGGGCTGCAGTGGAAGCCCAAGAGGACGCCACACCGCCTGCCAGAAGGGAGAGCATGAGACGAGGGGGAGACTTGAGGGTGCGCTCGCCTGGGTCAAGGCCTTCCCGGCTCTGGGAGTGAGAGCAGGAGTGGGAGGCTGGAGAGGCGAGGGCAGGGCGGCTCCCCTGGCCGGGAGAGGGCCGCAAGGAAGGAGGCAGTGGTGGCTTTCCACGGCCGAGGGGAGAGGAGGCGAGGGACGGGGCCGCAGCCAGCCAAGGGGGGCGCCTCCCGCCTCTCCCCACCATGCGGAGAAGCATGGCAGCTGCTCGACGGTGGCGGCAGCTTGCCCTGAGAAGGCCGCGGCAGAGGCATGGGGGCTGTGGCCCCGCTTCCGCCCACCTCGGCCTGTCCACCCCCGGGCTCGGCAAGGCAGCCACGGCTTGGCCCGCAGCCAGGGCACGTGGCTCATATTTTTGTGGTTTAAAAAACCCCAGATTAGCCTTATTACATCGAACATTACGAGGAAATTTGATACAATTTGTGACCAGTTTGGTTCATGACCAGAATCGTGGAACGAATTAAATCCATGAACCGAGGTACCACTGTATTTAGGAAATAAAATAAATCTGACACAGAAATATTCATTAATAAAAGTATTATATAGGTAAAATACATTTTAAAAAGTTATATTTTTCTTACCTTCTGTTTTTTTTAGTGTCTTCGTCTCTCTCTCTTCCCACCGCCCTCCTCTGTTCTGTACTCCTGCTCTGTATTCAGGCCCAACACATGCGTGCAATACGAGGAAGAGCTGGCGTGTGCACAATTCACGCTGGTAAGACTAGCACAGCAGCAGGAGCTAGCCAGTGCTAGCAGAGGGAGCTGGCGCATGCACAGTTGAAGGAAGCTGTTACAATTTGGCGCGTGCACCGGCTCTCTTCTAGTCTCTGAAACTGAGTTTCAGAGTATGCCTGCTCCAAACGAAAGTCCGAAAGTTCTGAGGCATGTTGGGTAAATGACCTTGGCAGGCCGTATTTGACCCGCAGGCCATAGTTTGAGTACCCCTGGTCTGAACATTTCCTTCTGTGCCCGTATTATCTTGGTCTTATTCCCTACCTCAGATGATTTGTGAAGCAGCTTTGAAGAAATGTGTTTGGGTTGCATTAAATCCCCTTGAGCAGAAGCAGAGGAATTTTTGTTTCTGCGTAAGGGTGGTGGCGGCCATGTTTGAGCTTCCTTGAGGGGGTCTACAGCAAAGCAAGAAACCACTGTCCACCTTAGGAGCGACTCTCCCTGAACTGTAATGAAAAGCATAGCGTTGATGCACTTCTGGCAATGCACCATTTTAAACTTCCCTCCTCATTTAGAAGATTCTAGAATGTTTTTCAGGTATGGTTGCGATACAGGCAGCCAGGGTCTTTTTCAGCTAGGAGTTTCCTAAAGTACATTTATCACCAGATAGAAGATCTTGTTCAGCATTGCCCTAATTCATGCACAAATAGCAAAGGGACTAGAGCCTTGTTTTTGGTTTTTTCATGTTTCTAAATTATATGTGATTATTGGTCTTCCACTTTGATGTCTTCCTCCTCAGTTAGCTTGCACGCTGCTGCTGCTGTGAGTGTTGGGTCATAAAATCGTGCTGTTTTCTCCTCTTGGAGCTTGTTGGTTCTTTGCTTTGAGTGAAAATGATAAACTTCTCAGACCCCTTTTGTTTTTCTCAGAACAAGTTCATTGTGAGTAGCCCTGCAGTGAGCTGCCATAGAGACTTCCTTTCCAATCAGAAATATTTTGGGGGCCTACCTCGTGGTCTTGAGCACTTCTCAATGCAGCTGGTTTGCCACCTTGTGTACAGAGATCTGGACTGGATGGATCTGGCATGGCTTTTCTTGCATTCTCCCGAATACTCACCAGGGCAGTTCAGGGTAGAAAAAACGTACATTTCCTCTCCAGCCTTTTTCAGGAATCAGTTGCATCTTTTTCTGCATTTCCCTGATAGGTATTTATTCTTGGCTGTCTTCTAATTGCAGAGTTCATAGCTGAATTCATTATACTCTAACGGTTCAAGTGCTGAGGGACTGTGAGTATTGGTGAGCAGGAGAGAGGGTGCACGCAACACGAATGACAGCAGCACCAGGATAAAATCACAGGCTCTGTAGGAAGAATGGCGAGGTCCTTGCAGGAGAAAGGAAGGGTGTCTGGGAGCCATTTGCACTGCCCTTGCGAGCAATTCATACCGCTCACGGGGAGAGGAATGAAACCATAACTTATTTGGAATCCCTCTTGTGAGGCAAGTGTGCCCGAGGATCAGGGCAACTGTATAGCATGCGCGTGTCTCCATAGCTGGAAGGGAAACGGTAGCATTCACACATTCATGTTCTGAGTTCTCTTTCTACATGATCCCCGTGACCAGTTCTCCTTGGAAGTATAAAGGAGTAAATCAGCCCCATCACCCGCATTCTTGCTCAACTTGTACGCCGTCCAGTTCAGCTTCGCTGCACTTTTACTGACAGTAACCAGGGAAAAAGGCTGCTGGCGCGCTCTTGCTTGCATCTTGGAATTGTTGTTGCTATTTGGAACCGTGCCACTGAACTTTGGCCCAACATCAAACTCCCTGTTATCCACCAAGTAATGCAAATTGGCTATGAAAAGCGACTGGTCTGGGAAGCAGAGAAGCAAGCAGAATACACAGGAGGCCTCAGCCAAGCAGGGGATATTTTGAGCCCGTGGCTTTGCAAAGCAAGGAGCACAGTGGTTCTCACATGGAAGGGTGGACATCCACAGGAGTTTTCCCCTGCTGCCTCTGGGCTCATGGCTGGATTGTAGATAGTGTACATGTTCTCTAGGAAGGTCTCCATGTCGCACCAGCATGCATGCCATGTGTGTGTCGCCTGTGCACTGTTTAGTAAGTAGTGCGTTAGAGGATTTCTAAGACCTGCTCTTGTTAGTAGAGCATCAAAGCACTGAGCTTGGGCATCATTCCAAACAGGTTATTGCCTGACAAGCAGCAGGGTTTCTACGGTCTCTGAGGCCAACTGAACAGTGGCATCTTTGCTCCTTCCTCCAAAATTCTCACTGCTGGTTTGCCCACAGTAAAAAAAGACCTTAAGTTATTCACTTAACTCCTTCACTGAATGTGAAAAAGCAAATTGTTCCTGTAGTAACTGGGTCCATTTTGTACATATAGTAAAATCTAATGGTAAAGCTTTTCCTGCGTTGTACCACTTTAGGATGCATGTTGGGGGTCATATCTTTAAAAATTATTTCAACATACAAAACTCATATTTCGGAGACTGGGTTCAGCTTAGCCCTCCTGAGATAGTATTTCTCCTTTCTTAAGGGTATGTACTCCTCCTGCTGCTGCTCCTCTCAGTGGCACAGGCCGGGTGATGTTTTGCTGTTGCAGTGTGCCGATTTGGTAAACTGCCCCTGAGCAGTCTGGGCGTACTGACCAAATCCATCACTGATGGCGCTACACTTGGAGCACAAAGCCCCTAGACGGCTGGCGCCCTCCTCTCCTCCTCTTCCCTGTGAGGCGCACCTGTGATGCGACACGCCGCCTCGGAAAATAAATGCCTCACACGCTCACTTAATGCCGCCACGTCCCAGCTCAGCACCACACGCAGTCAACCGTGTGTGCAGCTTTTCAGAAATCATGCTCATGCAATGAACATGTGGCCTTTTCCTGGATTCCACGGGGGCAGCTTATCAGGAGAGCCCGATCGCTCTGCAGTTGCCTGAGTCACGTGCTCTCCAGTGTGGGGCGGGGGGTGGGGGGGGGCTCTAATCACCCTGACACTCTGTTAGTTGAAGTCACTGAGGAGAAAATGAGATGGAACAGAAGTCATGCGAATCACACACACAACCCACACCTCCAGTGTCGTCACTTGTTGTTTTGTTTTTTATTTCTTGTTGTAATATATTTGGGGTTTTTTCCTAATTTAAATTTTCACTATTGCCTGACTGTGAACTGCAAACAGTGTTAACTTGATGTAAATAAAGGCCCCTTCGAGGGGGTGTCTCTCTGCCTGCTGTTCCGCAATGAAATTTGCCAATTTGCATTTGGTTTCTAAATAAAAGTTGCAATATTTTATTGGCACATAGACTTTGACACCAGATGTTTTTCAAGTGGCATGCAAGGAAAAATGTGATGTTTACACTCATTCAAAAAACAGGATGCTGAACCCTGATGTTGGAGGAGGATGGCTCGGATGGATTTGTGGGGTCAAAAGAGCTGAAAATGGGTCAGTAGTACCAATGCCACCGCTGGCTTTTTACTAACCAAGCGATTCTGTTCAGACCCAAGGAAATTTGAATCCTGGTTTCTCTGCGCCAACTCTGACCACATCATCATCCTGACAGGACTCCATCCAGTATCGCCCCTTCAGACAGAGAATCGACATTAGCAGAGTCTTGCCAGATTGTCGTCACTCTTCTTTTTCACTGGCTGCTTTCCACCACAAACCTCTGCCAGAAGCCCTCCTGTCCAGTGGGCCAGCCAGCAGCTAGCCCCTCATCTGGGGGTGGCGCTGAACACTGCAGTGGCTCGGTGGGAAGGGACTCTTGCCCTCCCAGCCAGACCGCGATTGCTCAGCATGTCCCAGTCTATTTCCCTTCCTCCCCAGGCGCACGTATTTAGCCTTGGTCACAAACGTTTTACTATTTGGCAATGCAAACCAAATAAAACCTTGCAGTATTTTCTTTGGCTAGTAGTCGTCAACTGTAATAATCAAGTGGAATGAGTGAATTTGTTCACTCGCCTTCTTGGCTATGGGTCCATAGGGCCAGCACACCTATTCTGAGTTGCTTCTTTGTACAAAGTCCTTTGCCACTCGGCAGAGCCCGCTGCAAAGTGGCATCGTGAGAATTTGAAAATCAAGTTGGAGAGCCAGTGTGGCGTGGTGGTTAAGAGCACGAGACTGGGACTCGGGAGATCAGGGTTCTAGTCCCTGCTCAGCCACCTGGGTGACTTTGGGCCAGTCAGAGACTTTCAGCCCAGCCTATCCCGCAGGTTGTTGTTTTGGGGATAAGATGGAGAGCAGGAGGAGGAGAATGATGTAAGCCGCTTTCAGTTCTTTAAAAACAGGGGAAAGGTAAGTAAAATGTAAAAGGTCTAGTTGTTGTGAACTGATGCATTCTACAGAATTGTGTCCATGTTTGGATTAGTATTACTCTTGAGTGGTGTTGCTGGCAGAGCGAAGTTGTCCCAGCCCCGCTTCCTAGGGATGTGGGCCCTGCGGGACCTGCTGGACAGCCCAGCGTGGGTCAGTCTGGCAGAGTGTGCTGCAACCTGCCCTGCATCCACAGACTTCTTGCCAGGAATACAGCAAAGGAATACGTGTGTCCCCTGAGGTTGACCTAGAGTTGCCACCATTCTTTACTATCAGGTATGCTACCCAGAGCTGATGGGGGCGGCCGTCCAGCCACCCCTGGGAGACGACACGATCTCCCAAAAGATCGCCTGTCCCAAAGACCTTTTGCACACCTGGCTGGTGGCCAGAACGGTGACGTGCATCAGGCCAGCGTGTGTGCGCTGCGCGAGCGCCCACTTCAGCTGCCTCATTGTGTGTTGTGCTGCAAAAGGAGCAGGTACTTCTGCCAAGCTCTAGTTGACCCAGGTTCTGGAAAGCAATGCCAGCAAACACTGGCGCTCACGTTGATCTCGTATTGACTGAAGCTTATTGTGCAAATTCCGTGCTGAGCTGGAAGTGCATTTTGATCAGTGACTTGTCATTTTGGCTTTTTTAAAACCGATCCCAAACACATCCTTGGAGTAGAATAGACTATATGCCTTCTACATATAAAATCTGTGCTGGAAAAATTAAGAACAAGAAGGGTATGAGTGTAGTCTTCATGGGGTCTTTATGCTCAGGACCACGGTGTGATTTAAAAGGAGGGTATTAATTACTTTTAGAAAGTAGCACCTGGTGCCCTGCCTCCAGCCTTGGGGCCAAGAAATACCTCATTTCAGTGCGAGGATTCTGGAAGAGGAAGCAGCTTGTACTGCAAGCAAATAGTCCTTGTTCAGCTGCACCCTTAAGGAGCAGAGAACTTTACTTCCAAATAATTGCTCAAAGCAATTCAGTCTTACAGAAAAAAGGAAGAAGTTTTACTCTTCACACAGCTGGGAGCTGCTGCTTTCACAATGAACCTGATGACTTGCTCAGTCCAATTAATGCAAAGGAGTTGCTCAAAAGTCTTGTTATCTCCTTGGATTGCACTTGTCCCTCTTCAGCATCACCACTCATGTAGACACCAGCTACATAGTGTTTGCTTCCTGACAGTATGTCCACTTTTCTGCTGCAAATTCTTTAGTCTCCTCCAATAAACAAACTCCTTCCATAGTAAGGAAATGTAAAGTCCATTCACAGTGCAATTAAATGTTACAAGTGCCTAGCACTTACACAAGAGGAAGCGGAGTAGTCTGTGTGTAGGTGAATCCCCAGGATGTCAGGGAAGGAAGAAATTTATACGTTGGGAAACTGACTTGCATCCCTGGGCAGAGAAAAGTTTCTCCTCCTTGGGGACAAACACCATCATCCTTGCAACTTCATCCAGTGTGTCCTCGGTGAATGGAAGTCCACGGGCAAGGAAAGCGTCCTGAGCACAGAGCTTCACATGCCTGTACTCCAGAGGCAGGAAGGGTACCAGAAAGTCTATGAGGTTTTCTTCTAGAAGGTGGTTGTGGGCATAGCCATCCTCTGGAAAAAAAAATCACACATTAAGATACGCGTAATACAGAATCCATCTCCTCCCAAACTCTGCATCGCTTGCTTCTTACAGATGAAGAAAGTTTAATGTTGACAACAGGAGGAAGCAAACTGAGGAGGGGAAGAGGAGGAGAGAGAATGGCGGCAAAGGATGGATTTTAGAAAATGCAAGTACTTTCTAAGTTTTGAGATACTTCATCTAGCAGTAGAACAACACAAGGGCTTGTGGCACTTTCAACACATTTATGACAGCGGAGGTTTTTGTGGACTAGAGTCCTCTTCATCCAATCTGCCACATAGAGACAGAGAACCGTATCCAGTTGTCTCTCTCTGTTGAGTGGATGTGTCCACAGTACTTTTTCTTATCAAATGTGTACTTAAGACACGTCCCTTAGAAAGCACTTCTCCCCATAGCAGGCAATGCTGATGGGACAGAACACACCCTTTGCACACACAATGTGCAAAACCAAGTGTTTTTCAGCAATTTAAAATAAGAGCTTCCGCACAGGCACACAGTGTCTCCTGTCCGTCTACACAGGACTCCTGCTCCCAGCGGCTTGCAGAATTGCACACTTGCTCACCCCTGGCCTCCAGCAGCCCCGTGCGCAGGCGTTGCTCCAAGAACTTCATGGTGATTTCCTCCCTGGCTTGACCAGCACGCCAGACATCAAGGGCCACCTCATTGATTATGTTGCCGCCGGTGTTACTGAGGAGGAAGAAAGAACAGCATTTCGGTGTTTGGCCCCTGTGATTCCAGGTTCTCAGGGAAAATTTCATCTTGCCCTGCATTTGTTACATCCCCACTTGGGCTTTCCTGAAGGTCTTTCTTGGAATAGGGAAATGGTCCTGGTAAGGACATTGGGGATTTCCTGAAGCTTCCTGTGGCTCATCGCTTTGGCTTCTTAGTGTCGCATCGATGGCTGTTCAGCTGCATCTTGCTCAGGAAACCCCTTCGGTTTTTGTTCAGGGGAAATCACAGCCAACAAAGGATTGTCTAATTTGGCTAACGGCTGGGGGTGCCCATGTTTTGGCAGCATGCAGTCGACTCTTTGGAAGGGATTTCTTTCAAGACCAAGAACATTTGGTCTTGAATATTCACTTATGCACATGTTTGTTTAAATTGCTCACCTGTTTCATGGAAAATAACACAAGGACAGTCTGAATGGATTCTCTGTGCGCATCTTGTGATTGGCTAAAAGAATGATATTACAGTCCCAGGAAGGTGGAACAGCTCCACTTGTCATGGAGCAGAACCTTGCAGTGCTTCTGTTATGGACGGGTGAAGTATAGACCCCACTTTCAGATGGATATTTATTGGTCTATTTGCTGAGCTTTTGTTGAGCCTACCAAGAGTTGCTAGAAAATCAAATGCATTTCATACAAATCTATGCATGTGCTTTAAAAATGGTTTTTAAGTTAACTCACCTCAGGAACAGGAAGATGGACCGCCTGTAATCAACTGTGTCGATTCTGTCATAGTGATCCATATAGGGTTTTAGGCCGTCCAGGATGCCACTGTGAAGCTTCTCTGCCTCATCAAAGAGGAACAGCGCCTGTTCACAGAGTTGCACCGTCTCGCTGATCTGTTTTGCTAGCTGGACCTGGGTGGCCAAGAGGAACTGATGTGAGTTTCACTGCAGGAGATGTAGTTAATCGTTTCTGTTGCATCTTTTAGAGTATAATTTTGCAAAGTGACTTGTAGCCACTGATAAATCCAACGTTTTGGGACAGAGACAAAGCAGCAGCAAAAGCATAAGAGCAGTGATAGAAAGCTAGGCTGAAGGAAACAGGTTTTTAAAAACAGCCCTAAATGCTGCCAGTGAGCTGGGGACAGAAGGCTTGTGCATGTATTGGGAAGGGAGTTCCACAGAGGCAGGCCTACCACAAAAAGGGATTTGTTCCTGGTATTTCCCATCTGATAGTTCTTGGTGCCTGCCTCTGAAGTTCACAGCATCATAGTAGAGTGGGAAGGGGCCAGATCTCCTGCCCACTGCAGGACTCCGGGTTCCACCATCCCCCTCAGATGGCTGTGCAGTTGCATCAGTGTGTAAGAGCCCACAGCCTCCCAGAGTTATTGGTTCCACTGTCGTGTTGCTCCAAGAGTCAGGAAGATTTTCCTGCTGCCCAGCCAGAATCCGGCTTCCTGTAACTTGAGCCCATTATTCTGTGTCCTGCACTTTAGGATGGTCAAGAGTGTTAGAGATCTCGGGTGCAGTCTTGGGGAAGGATGTAGACCCTTGGACCGTACCAGCCCTTCCCCTCTGACCAGGTACCCAATCGAACATCCAGCCACTTTCCTTGGCATTAAGACAAAGGGGGGCAGGGTTGAGATTCTGATAGTGGGGATTTATGTAAAGTTTTCTCTACCTCCAGCAGCAATGCAGACTTGAATATGGATTTGGGGGATGGCATGGCATTATACCAGCCTTCCCCAAGCTGGGGACCTCCAGCTGCTTTGGACTTCAACTCCCAGCATTCCAAGAGTTACAGTGCAATGCCTCTGGAAGGCCCCAGGCTGGGAGAGGATGCATGAAGCTCAAGAAGGCTATAATTGCCCCTAGAGTCCTCTGACAGCAAAGTGCAAAATGTTAGGAAGCAGAGACGGCTGCTCCCTCACTAGGAAGTATCAGAACAGTAATGCCACTCCAGGAATTCTTTTAGCTAACTCGGCATAGCAGTAAATAAGTCTCCCAAAAAAGGGAAAAAAGATGGCTTCTCACCTTGTATATGTCCACATATTTGGAATGGGGGAAATGAAATAGTGAGATGAAGACTCTGACACATTCGCTCTTGAGGCCGTCCTGGTAAAGATTCTCCGCTATTATCCGGGCCACAAAATTCTTGCCTGTGCCAGACCAGCCATGGAAAGACAGAACCAGTGCCTTCTCGGGCTGCGGGGTCTCCAGGAAGCCTTGAATGGCCTTCAGCACAACCTCTTTTGCCAGGTGTTGTCCATGGAGTCTTCTGCTCAGGTCCATCTCCAACCCTGATGCGGTGGGAGGAAAGGGGATGGTCAGGTGCCTGGCATGGGAGGACTGAGGGAGCTTGCGCAGGGCGGGAAGGGTAGCGCTGCTAAGCATCCATCCCCCAAGATTGAAACTTGGTGCGCATGCTGACATTCCAGAAAGTGGCTACAGATGGCATGTCAGTGGCCCCGTAGTTTCCTAATCTTTGCACAAGTAGAACACATTATCTAAACTAAGAGAAGATCCCGCAATTGGGCAGGGTTGGTCCAAGCTGCAGAATTCAGCTTTGTTGCAGAATTTGTGTAAGCTTGTTGCAGAAATCTGAGAACAATAGAAATGTGCTATATCAAAGAGCAGGGTATAAACAGTTCTGCTTTTTGCCATGTTAATCTCTGCTTGCTTGCGTTGTCTGGAGTGCAACCGTATGTGTGACTGGCTGGGAAGCGTTAGGAGCTGTGGGACACCCATGGTCTAAGCCAGGTGGAGAGAAGGTAGATCTCCAGACATTTTGGATTTTGGTTCCCAGGAGGGCCATCCAACATGGCCAGTGCTCAGGAATCTGGAGGTCTGTTTTCTGCCCTGTGCTGACATGGAGGACTCCACAATTTGACCCAAGCAAGCAGAATAGCTTGGCGCTTCCATCCCAGCACCCACCGGTCTCGGCTTTTCGTAGTGAACATTCTAGCTCCAAACTCGAAGGAGAGGGATTTTTGTTGGCAAGGCAGCGGGAGCAAAGCGCACGGGGGTGGTGATGTGTGGGGTGCCCCCCAGGAGAGAGCACTCAGCTTTCCTGAGCGAGTTACCCTAGAAAGGTGCTCAGTGCAGCAAAGGATGCGACAGCCGTCAAAATCAAGCGGCTTTAAAGAAAAATAGTTCTGTTTAGCAAGACTGAACTCCGGCACCTCAAGCACTGTGGCCGTGCCGGAGGGTGGGAATGGTGTACTTAGGTGCCCGGGAAGCAAAGTCAGCACCTGTGATGTTGTTGCTCACGCGGCAGTCTCCTGTAGCGCAGCACCTGCCAAAACTGCAGTACCAGTTGGAGACCATCTTGCCTATGTCAGGCAAACTCCAGCCTAGAAGAAAGTCGAGCCAGGATTAGAAAGGAAAGGAATGGGTCACCTCTCCGCCCATGTCTCAAGCATGTTAGGGGTCTCCCCCATTCTTTTTCATTCTTCCTTGCAACATTTTTGCAGCATTAGCTATTAATGTTCCCATTGCACTGATGGAAGCACTGAGTCAAAAATGGGTTTGGCAGCCAGCACTCCTGTGGCAGCATTAGGTGCCTCTTTCCTTGGTGCTAATGCAAATGGAGAGAGGGCGTTGGGATCGGGGAGGGGAGCAGGACCTCTGCCCAGAGGTGTCTTCCTACCTCCGCCCTCGGTGGTGCTCCTGGTATCAAAGGGTGGCACCCATTTGCTCTCCCGCCAGGGCATGACATGCTCGGCTTTTGGGTGCCTCTGGCAAGACATTCTAGTCCCTGCTTTTCTCCACAGTCTGTCCCCTTGTCCAGCGTCCTTGCCTTTAAGGTACTCAACCAGCCTCTCCATGAGTAGCCATGTGGGTTGGGAGTGATGGGACCTGTGGTGCAACACATCTGGAGAGCTCCAGGGTGAGGAATTAGACAGGACCACTGCTGAATGAGACTCCACAATGGGAACCAGCACGTAACGGAAGGAGTCCGGAAAGCGTTGCAGTGGGACAACGAACCGAACATCAGGGCGGCTTCCTAGGACCGCTGGAGGAAGAGGAGGAGGAGGAGGCAGGTGAGCATAACGGGCAGCCTGTGGGCTTGGCTAGAACCGTTTCTCTTGAGGTGCATTTATTTTCGTCATGTTTGAGCACAGGCTTTTCTGCACAGGCCAGTATTAGAAATAGCGTCCTTTCTTGTTTCCTGCAGTACTGCATTCCACATGACTTCCCCTTATGACTTTCCCTTCTTAGTCCGCTCTGTGTGTGAATGACTCAGGGGCAACATAAATTGAATTTAGGATGGTTTAGGCCTTCAGAGGGATGCTTCTTTCTGTAACCATTGCACTCGGCGTATTATTGCTGCATTGCACTTTTATCCCAAATTTTTCCCTCGTGTGAGGAACCCAAGGTGGCTTAGATAGCTCCTTTCTATCCTCAGAACAACAACCCGGTGAGGTACATTAGGCTGAGTGAGGGATGGGCCCAAAGTTACCCATGGAGCTTCATGGCTGGGTGGACGCTGGAACCCAGAACTCCCTGGTCTCCGGTCCCATAATCGCTGTATCACACTGACAGCCAAAACATTGCAAAAGCCATAGATAAATCACCATTTTATATTGCATTGTTGTTAAATATATATTAAAATAGAGCAGCTATGCTATAAACACTCTGCGATGCCTAGCGAATAGCTCTGCTTTCTCTTCATCGGTTCCTGTTGGCTGCATCTTAGAGAGAGGCGTGATCCTGTTCAAAGGCCAAATCAAGTAACTGCCTGTTTTGAAGACCGATTCATTTCCTCTTTGTTAAAAGACCAGTGTGATACTCTGTTAACATAAAATTCGGGCAACGTGCAGTATATATGTAAGTCCTGAAGTGACAGCGTATGACAAAAAGCACAACATGGAGGAAAAGTCCCCTCGCCCCCAACCCGCCCGGGGACAGGCTGCCTCGAGGATCAGCCACGTCCCTTGGACAGATCAGCGCCGCCCTGTGTGGGGCAGGGCGAGCTCCGATGCAAGCGAACTTCCAAGCCCTCCGTGTCGCATTTTTGCGGTGCTGCGCAAGGTCGGGGGAAACGGCTAATTTCAGGGTCGAGCTGCAGCATGGCGGGGTGGGGGGCATCCCCCCTCTCGCGCGGAGGGTCCCTCTGCGAGCAAAATTGTAGGGTGGGCGCCTGCGAGGACAAGCGTGTGTGCTCTCGCCACCCTTCCAGGTGTGTTGGAGCGCCGTGCCCGCCATCCCCAGCCGGCATGCAGGAAGGTGCGGTGCAACACACTTGGGGAGCACCGGGTTGGAGAAGGGCGGGGCTGCAGCCCCGCTGCGTGGCCCCAGAGGCGGGGTGCGAGCTCCGTCGCATGGCCGGCGCGCTGGGAAGCGGGGCTCCGACCTTCGCCCAAGCAGCGCGGGGGAAGAGCTGGGAGAGGGCGGGCAGCCCCTTACCTGGCTGGTCGAGGGCGACCTTGCTGGCTCCCCTTTCCTCCTCCTCCTCCTCCTCCTCCTGCATCACCTCCATCTCCTCCCATTCCTGGTCCTGCTCCTGCTCGCAGTCCTCTTGCCAAACCGTGCAGGCCAGGAGCTTCCAGTACTTCCTGGAGAGCGCCCGGACGACGGCCAGCTGCTCCGGCGGGCGCCCGTGACGCTCGCCGCCCAGCAGGCCGGGGCTCGGGCCAGCTCCGCCGCGCGGCCCCCGGGAGCCCGTCCCGGCGGCGCAGAGGCAGGCGCACAGCAGCAGGAGCCTGCGCCCCATGGCATGGCACGGCACGGCACGGCACGGCAGGGCGCACCAGCTCCAGCACCAGGCCAGGCGCTGCCCCGCGGCCCGGCCCGGCCCCGCGGCGCCGGGATCCCGAGTCCGCCCGCGGGGCCGGTGACCTCACTTCCGAGCCCGCCCGCGGGCTGCCTCGAGCGCCGCCTCCTTCCTCGGCGCACGCGGGCGCCGGGCGCAGGGGATCCGCGGGGACGCGACGCAGGGGGACCAGCCTCTCCGGCCCGAGAGCTTTCGGCAGCCGGCCCGGAGAGGCAGCGGGACAGATACGCGGCTGTGCGGCGACTCCCTTTCAGCGGCCGGCGGCTCCGGTGGGAGGTGAGGCGCGGGAAGCGTGTGCGAGGGTGCCCCCATCCATCCATCCATCCATCCATCCATCCATCCATCCATCCCCTCGCGCCGATGGTCTTCCGAGGCAGGGAGGAAGCTTCGACGGGGACTTGAGAGGGGAGATGCGCTGGGGGGCCTCTGGCTGGAAGGGAGCAGCGGGATGGAAGCTCGAGGGTCGCCCAGAGGAGATGGAGGGTGCATTGCTTCCGTGGTCTCGTTTCAGAATCTTTTGCCCGCTTCCAGTGCAGCTCTGGCCATGTTTGAATTGAGTGTCCTGGGCTCAAACATTTAATGAATGTTGGGTGCGAATAGAATTAGCCAAAAGTCCAAAACTGTTCTTGAGAGCCACAATTCACAGGGAAGCGAGCACAGGTTGTGTTCTTACACACCAGCCAGGACGCAGCTATTCCATGTTTATCCTGCCATTTTCCCTTTTGCAAGGGATGCAGAGCCATGGCCTCTCCATTAGACTCGCAGCACAACCCTGTGAGGCAGGCCAAGCAGAGAGGCACGAACGGGCCCACAGCCACCCATTGAGCTTCAGGACCGAGTGGGTGACCAGTGGCCAGAACTCAAATCCCCGGAGCTCCAGTCCAACACACCACACGGTTCGCATTCAGTGCAACATGTGCAGAAGCATTTCCAGTACTTTGTGTCCCAGATGGTTTTGGTCATTCTGGGAATCATAATTTTCCACGCTGAACTTTATCTGCTGCTAAGTGCTGCCTCTGCCCTATGTCCTGGCAAGCCCCTGGGAATATTTGGTACGTCTTCCATGGGCTTCATTATTCGAGATATAAATGCTGATCACCACTGTTTATATATCATAATGGCAGAGACTGAGGTGGCTGGATGAGGGCACTGGGTGGTCTCCAGGGGATGGTGGAGGACAGGAGAACCTGGAGGAATGTTGTCCAAGGGATTGCAAAGAGTCGGGCACAGCTTTGCGACTGAACAACAAGAAGAAGAAACAGTGCCGCCATCCCTCCAAATTGAATAGGGTGCAGAGAAGTTGAACTGAGGAAAAGGGAAAGAAAATGGCAGGTGGAGGATTTTATGCTGTCTTGCACTCCCCTGAATATACTTTCTGTCTCCAGGCGGGGTTGTGGGGATGCAGAAAGACACCTGACAAGGTAACCCGGCACTGTGGATAAAGTCACATGCCATCCAAGCCACAGGGAGGGTGGACCAATTTATAGCTGTGGGGAAGGTGGGGAGTGCCAGGAGCCCTTTATCTCAAAGCACCCAAGGTTTACTCTCTCATGGTCTGGAAATAAGGCTGGAAGGAAAAGCTCCATCAGCTGAAATAGCTGGGGAAAGGGAGCTAAAAAATGGAGAAGAGGAAAGCTCTGTCAGTTTAATTCCACTGATCACTGAGGTTTAGTGATGGTTCAGGAGCCAAGCCAGGGGAAAAAGTTGACAGCCACAGGTATTCTACGCCAGGTGAAGATGCAGCCTGGCCAGATCATGTGACGAGGTCAGAGGACGTTTTGGCTCGGTGAATCACAAGCTGGGCTGTACCCCAAGCAGGAAAATCTCAGACTGTTCAGTATTGCCTGCTGCCACCTGGTTCACCTGAGCATGGATCTGTTTCTCCTTTGGGGAACTTGGTTATGCTGGGACCTGGCTGGTCCTGGAGTTCCTGGGAGAAGGATCCACAGGTCAGCTACGTATTCTGTAAAATATTTTAATAATATATTAATTATATATTGTTTGATTTGTTTTAATTTAGTCCATTTAATCTGTTTTAATTATCTGTTTAATCCATTTTAATCCTCTATTTAGTGGAAGTCTAAAGCATTGTATTACTCAGAATCAATCATTCTTACAACAGCCTTTTAAATAGGCCACTGGTCTTATCCCTGTGATCCAAACTAGCGAAGGGCCTGCCATTTTCCACTGTTAAAGGTACTTTCTTTAGCTGCTTTGTCTCTCGATGCTGTTAGTTGATCTTCCGTGGCATCACAGCATGGTTTCTGCCATCTCCTAATTCTGTCAATCTGCCTGGCTTCATTTGTGGTTCATACACATAGTTTTGTACCTGTGCAAATATTTATTCTGATTTTGTGGGGGAAATAAACTTTCCTTGAAGTTTTAAAGCATTTTAAGAGGCAGCCTGTTTGCAAACAGGCTTTGGGGGCGGGGATGTTTTGGGTGCAGTGTTTTTGGCAGCAAATCCAAACGGGCAGTTGACAAATGGAGCAGGTGCTTGTGATGGGTGTCAGTTCATGACACTTTAAAGCTCTTATTTAATAACTGTGAGATGCAAATGAAACATAATTACCAGGGGTTGTTTGTTTTTTTGCAGGGAAACCTGGTGAGCGAATTCAGGCTTTGGACTATCCCCTATCCCCCCCGCCCCCAGGTGGTGGGAAAGCAGTTCATTGTTCCTTCCTTCAAGCACTGCTGTTGTCACCCATTTTATACGTACACACACATTTGTATGTGCACGCACACTCACGCACACACTGCATTTCCCTAATCGCCAAGAGGACACTGGGTGGCAACGGATGACACTTCGGGTTTGTCATACTTTCTCAGCCTGTCCCCAAACAATAAAAGCACAAAGCCATGGCCCACCTTGCTTTCCAGAATGGGGGGAGCATCTTGTACCGCACTGCAACACTTTTGAAGTGTTTGCAAACATTTTGAAAAATGCATGTTTCACGTGAAATGGGACCCCGAGCGGCAAACTCCTGCCTGCGGCTGCATCTTCCGTGCGGATGCACACGCTACTGAGCAAAAAGATGCAGCACAGCCCCCCAGCAACAGACTTTAAGTCCGCTTTCTCAGGCACGTGGTGTGGGGAGCTGAGCCTGGGACGAGGACTTGGGGGATCCGGGTTCTGGTCCCCATTCAGCCCGAGTGATGTTGAGCCAGTGACTCACACTCGGCCTAACCTACCTCACAGGGTTGTTGTTGTTGTGAAGATCAAATGGAACTACATAAGCCGTCTTGGGTTCCTCTCAAAAGGGAAAAAAAGCAGATATAAATGCATTGTAATCAGCAGCAGCAGCCACCTATACTGTGTAGTTAATGCTTAAATACGGGGCATTTTCTTGGGTGCCACAGGGTGGCGCTATTTGACCAGAATATAAGATTTGCCTCTAGCTCAGCTCTGTACAGGATTCCACCAAACTGCTTCTGTGGTGATACTCAGCTGTGTTTGGAAATTCAAAAGCTGCGTCCAATGATCACGGTAACTACTTCTTTGTCTCACGAACCTGGTACTCTGGTATACTTCTTCTGAACGAGAAGACTCCATTTGCTATCATGGCTAAGAGCTGTCAACACAGAATCCTTCTAATCCCCTTTCCCAGTACAGATTAGATTCTCTATAAATGTGCCACTGTTCTTCCTCCCATTAGCTTCTCCGGGCCTGACATGGACGAGAGTAGATGCTAGAGACCTATGTGCAAAATTTCCCTGTGCTGAAACTAAAAGGGCGCATTAAAAGCTTGTCCTTCATATCAGACGGGATGCACTTTTCAAAATCAGGGAGCATATGAAATGCGGGACTCTGTGAAAGAGCTGGAGGCAGGAAACACTGGGCATCTGTTCCAGGCTGAGCTTTCTGACGAAACCAGGCTGATGTACTTAGGCAACAGGTGGTTCTCCTGAAATTCTTACGAGTTTGGCATTTGCCTGACATTTCAGTACAAATGTTAGATCTATTTGATGGATATAATTTTAATTCAACAGTTGTGATTTTTTAAAGACAGACTTGTTACTCCTTTCTAAATTTACTTCTCATGGTGTAAGGAGTGTCTTCATGCAGAATTGTCATCTAATAATTCACCATTTCTTATTAGCAGTGATATCCTAAAGTGCCTCTGGGCATGTGCAGCGTGCTTACCCCTCACTGCTGTGTGTTTGCACACATACAGTTCAAGCCTTCACAAGGGATGCCGTCATTCGCCTCAAAGACGTGGCCGCCACCTTCCTAGCTCCACAAATACCTGTTCCAACGCTTCCAGAGAGGGCTTTGGTGCCCTCCCTGCATCTCCCAATCCAACCAGGACTCAAGTTGCTTGTCCTCAGGAAGTCTGCTGTGTTAAGTAAACGTGCAGCCTAAAAAGTGACTACAGATGGACTAAGAAAAAGAACACAAAGGAAGTATCCAGGACTGCAATGGTAACTAGAAAGGACAACACCTGTCTCCTCCCTGCAGGAAAGACTTCAGCTTCTTAACCTGAACAGCCATGATCAGAGGCAGTGTGTTCTAGTGGTTAGAGTGCTGAGCTGGGGACCTGGAAGCTCCGAGTTCCAGTCCCCACTCAGCCATGAAGCCCAAAGTCACCCACTCTCAGCCTAACCTCCTTCACGGGGTTGCTTTTGCGAGGATAAAAGGAAGCAGACAACCTTGTAAGCCACTTTGGATCCCTTGCAAGAGGAAGAAGGGTGGCAGATAAATGCAGTGCGGTGAAATACCAAGGAAAGCTGAGAAAAAGAGTGAAAACTCCATTGGATAATTGTAGATGGACTAGCAATGGAAGGGTTTTTTGATCTCACTCCAGGACTGCAAGTTTCAGCTAAATTTAAAATGCATTTTTTTAAAAAGCCCTATTACCTACACCGATCCTTTCCCCTTGAAAGCTACTGACTAACTGTGGGTGAGACAACACACTGAATTCTGAAATTAAGGGGGAAATCCACTTGAAGGGCAGTATATGCTCTTTGCTCAGGATCACCCTACCAAGCTGTGTTCTCCCTGCAGGGGAAAAGAAATGAGATCTGATTCATTTTCCCCATCCATGGAATTCATAGATGGGATTCTGAGTAGGAAAATGGCAAGAAAGAAAGACATTTGCCAGCCCGGCTCTGCTCCGCCCCGCCACTCACACCTCAGTAGGCCTTGCAGGACTGCTTTCAGAAAGGAGGAAGAGTGAATACAAATACCAGTTTGCTCCTTGTATACACATCATTGTATCATTTAATTAACACAATTAACCAATTGTTGGTGGGGTGCCATTTTTACTGGTGAGAGCACTTTCTTAAACCAGTAAGGCTATTTCAGAGCGCACTCCTTTAGTGTAGGTTAGTTGTGATCTACAGTAGGGAGGGAAAAATTAAACATTAACTTTCCAACAATGATTGCTACCTTTGAATTAAGTTTAAGCTCTATCATAAATCTCTTAAATGGAGGTTTTGCTAAAATGGGCATTCACTGAAAGAGAATTTGCCTTTGAACTGATTCTGTAGGTAAAAATTCTTGGTCAGCTGATCTACTGGAAGTTCAGGTTTGAGATCAGTCCCTGAAATTTTCCATGAACTGATGTTCCCAACAGCAGTCCAAATTGTTTGCATGTTGCATTATTGGACTGTGTTGCAATATTAGTGTGCAATAGAGAACCCTTCAGATAGGTCAGGTGACACCCAAGTTCCTTCTGCTTGCAATTTAAATACGAAAAACATTTGCAGGGGATTCACCATGAATCTGCTTGTACAGGCAAGTGCTCAGCACTTTAATCCACGGGTCCTCAAACTACGGCCCCTGGGCCGGATGTGGCCTGCCATGCCCATTTATCCGGCTCGCCATAGAGGTTTTGGACTTGCTGCGCGCGCACGGCGAGGCAGCGGCTTGCTTACGTGGGGATCGCTTTGGACTTGCTCGGAGAAAACGATCTCCACACATGCCCGACCCCACCCTGCACCGGCCCGCACCCCCTGCCCGCACCCCCTTGCTGGCCTGTGCCCTTTGCTCGCACCTTGCAATTGGCCCCGTTGAAAAAGTTGGAGGACCCCTGCTTTAACCAGTGTGCTGCACAGCCATTTATGGACTTGAGACACGGGGTTGCTCATGTCATCCAAGCAGTCGCTGACCTGGTTTGCAGGGCACGACCATCCACTAGATCCGATTGTCCAAAGGGGTTTGCCAGGATGGCGAAAGCAGCGTGGCTTCCACAGGGTGGCCGTGGAGAAACCGCGGCTCGTTGTTGGGTCCTGCAGCATAGCTTGTGGCAACATCTGGACCTGGCCGGGTGGCTTATGCCTGGCTTGATTCTCTGTGGAAAGGCGTAGCAACCACCCAGCAAGATAAGTAAAGACCCTGACCCTGCCAAGAAGGGCTCCCTGCCCCTGCCCGCCCAGCTCAGCACTTCTCTCGATACGCAAGCTGAGTTTGCACCATTGCCTCTGAAGGCATGTGACTGGGGCTGTGGGGAACGGATGGTGAGGGCGGGTGAGCACGGGGTCCTCTTCCTCCTGTTTTCATGCCAAATTTCCATGGAGAAGGGTTCTTTTTTTAATCTCCAGCTTTTTCTCTTATGTTTGCTCCACAGGGATGTGAGAGGATTTCTGCATGAAACAGAACCTGGTCCTAAACTGGGGTGAGAGAGCTTATTTGGAGGTAAGCCAATCACACATGTATGCACTATGAGTCTAATTACCTGCTTGATTAAGGCCTGTTCTGCTCCGTCCTCTCCAGTGCTGTATTTTCAAGAGTCTGGGAAGCTGCCCCAGGGAGGAGGGAGCTGGGAGCTTTATTTCCATCAGACCCAGGGCAGACCTGTGTCCCAGCCTGGAGGTGGTGTTTCCTGTCTTTTGACTGAAATCTTGTGTTCCTTGGCACAACCTTTGACAGGAGCATGTTGCTTATCAGACTTGAAAAATGGCACTGAGCCATTCGGAAACGGTCCCTGTTTTTGTGTGTTTTTGTGGCGTTCTTTCCCTGTAATGCAAGAGCCGTGCCCTTAAGCTGCTTTGCAGCAGATTTGTAAAGGGCTTCATGAGTGCAGCAGCGGAAAGACACGGCGTGCCAAGATGGACAGAAGGACAGGCTTCTGCACCTCTGGGAAGCAGGTGGGAAGGGTGATGGCCCGACAGGGTCCTGCCTTCTGCAGAAGTCTTGCATGTGCAGAAGTTCAGTCCACCTTCAAGCTGCTCAGCTTGGCCAGTGATGGGAGAACTTTTGGGTGTGTTTGCTGTTGTCTCCCTAAGGTGCAGCTCCTGTAAACACGAGGCTTCTTCTATGCAGCCCATCCCGTAGTCGCTGTCCTTTTCCCCTTCTGCCTTCAGCTTCCCCAAGCAGGATGGTCTTCCTGGGGAGGCTTCTTTCTCATGTGTCCAAAGTTTGACAGCTTCAGTTTGGTCATTTTTGCTTCCAAGGAAAATGTGGGCATCACGGTCTTCTCCGGGAAGACTTCCCTTCTCATGATGTGCTCAAAGTACAACAGCTTCATTTTGGTGGTTTTTGCTTCCGGGGAGGCTCCGGCTTGACTCAAGCTAGGACCCCCCTGGTTTGTCTTTCTGCTGGTCCAGGTATTCACGAAACTTCTCCTCCAGCACCATGTTGCCTCGATTTTCTTCTGGTCAGCTTCCTTCACTGTGCCGCTTTCACGCAAAGACCAAGGCCAAGAGCATCCAGGCCACTGCATTCCCAATTTGAACCATTCCCCCCTTCGGATTTTCTGGTTTACCGTGAATGTTGCATGTCGTGTTCTGAGAGCACATCCTTTCCCCAGAATGCAGAATGGAAGCAACACAGGAACAGAATGTACTTGTGGTACTAGATTAACAGAGCTTAATTTTCTCAGAGCTGAATTGTGTGGCGGATAGTGTAGCTCGGAGCAGTGTTGACTGTACAGGTGCACTCCCTGCAAGTTTCGTCAGGAAAACCACTTGCGCAAAAGCAGAGCTGGCACATAGCAGGTGCGGCAGCCCTTTCTTCTGCCTCAGGCCGCATGTGATCACGTGCTCAGTGGTTGAAGAAAAAGCCCTGTGCCTTTTTTAGTGACACCATCCTCTAGAGCAGCGGTTTTCAACCTTTCCGCAGCTACAGACTGGCAAAAAGAGCCAGTGTGGCGTCGTGGTTAAGAGCACAGGACTGGGACTCAGACGATCTGGGTTCGAGTCCCCGCTCAGCCATGGAGCCAACTGGGTGACTTTGGGCCAGTCACAGACTCTCAGCCCAACCTACCTCACAGGGTTGTTGTTGTGGGGATAAGATGGAGGAGGAGAAGGATGGAAGCTGCCTTGAGCCCTTTGTAGGAAAAAGGCAGGATATAAATCGAAAAAAAATAAAAATAGGACAACCGTCTCAGGGACCAGAAACAAAAAACACCTTTCACATAATACGGTATTCTGTGTATTAGTTTCCAAACACAATACCAAAAAAAGAAACAAAAAGAAAATTCCCCAAAACCACCAGGAACTGAGCAACAATGAATGCCAACAAAGGACAAAATACCAAAATTAGGACAGTGTGGCGCTCAGCTGGCTCCCACCAAACTGTCTCCTCTCCCTGTCCCATTGATGGCACCCCCCACAAATGCAAAGCCACTTGAGGAAGAGGCGGTGGAGCACAGCCAGCCCCGGCGCTGATCCGGTGAGCGGGATGCAGTCCCCCTCATGGACTGGTGCCAGTCCACAGACGGGTGGTTGAAAAACACTGCCCATGAGGAAGCCAGTGCTGCTGGGCAGATGTGAGGCTTGCAACTTTTCTTTTTCTAGGGAGCAATCCTATGTGTATCGAGACAAAAAGGAGGTGTACCACTCCCAGGATGCCCCAGCCAGCTCTACAGTTTTAGCTGGGGCATGCTGGAAATCAGAGGGCATTTTTCTGTCTGCACATTCCAGGAAGGAAGGTTTGGTAAGGTGCTTTGGCTTCCCTGTAGGAAAAAATGTGAGGTATAAATATAAATAAATACATAGGATGGTGCCTGCCCTCCCTTTTGTTGTTGTTGTTAGTTGTGAAGTCCTGTCCGACCCATCGCGACCCCATGGACGACACTCCCCCAGGCCTTCCTGTCCTCCACCATCCCCCAGAGTCCACTCAAGCTCACACCCACTGCCTCAGTGACCCCATCCAGCCACCTCATCCTCTGCTGTCCCCTTCTTCTTTTGCCATCTATTGTTCCCAGCATTAGGCTCTTCTCCAGGGAGTCCTTCCTTCTCATTAGGTGGCCAAAGTATTTGCGTTTCATCTTCAGCATCTGGCCTTCTAAAGAGCAGTCAGGGCTGATCTCCTCTAGGACTGACCAGTTTGACCGCCTTGCAGTCCAAGGGACTTGCAGGAGTCTCCACCAGCACCACAATTCAAAGGCCTCAATCCTTTGGCACTCAGCCTTCCTTATGGTCCAGCTTTCACGGCCATACATTGCAACTGGGAAAACCATCGCCTTGACTATACGTGCTTTTGTTGGCAGGGTGATGTCTCTGCTTTTTAGTATGCTGCCTAGATTTGCCATAGCTTTCCTCCCCAGGAGCAAACGTCTTTTAAATTACAATTGTTTCGAAATGGGCACTTCTTCACCTGCACTAGTATGTGCAAATCTTCTACTATCCTCGTGATCCATCAAGTTGCAACAGTCTGTACAAGCAGCAGCTTCTGACCCTTCTTCAAAGGCAGACGCACATGGAATGCATTAACGTAATCTAATGTAGAGGTTACCACAGCAGAGACTGGTAAAGCCTCTCCTCCTACTAGTCAGGGGCATATCTGGGCCACCAGCTGTAGCTGGAAGAGGACACTCCATGCTACTGAAGTCACATGAGCCTCAAGTGGCGAAGACAATCCAGGAGCACCTCAAGATTATGGCCCTGCTTCTTCAGGGAGTGAAGCCTCACCCAGAAAACACTGACAGCCTCCATCCTGTCACCCACTGGCCTGGTTTATTAGCCCTCATCCTGTCCAGGGCTGAAGCAGGCCATTGATCTAACATATTCAGAACTCCACCTGATGAGGATGCAAAGAAGACTCAGAGTTGCATGTCTTCAGCATACCACTTTGACGCTCTGGATGGCCCCAGCCAGCAGTTCCGTGTTAAATAGTACCTGTGGAGCCCCATGCTGGAGAATCCACGAGGCCAAACCGTAATCTCCAGGCACCACCATTTCCAGCCAGTCATCCTAACAGAAGCAGAGCCATTGCAACAGACAGCCTTGCCTCGACAACATTCCCGTACCTGGGCAGAAGAAACTTTCCAGGACTAGGCAAGGCTCTTCATTCCAGAAACCCAGAACTGTACAAGTTGTTGTTGTTAGTCCCGAAGTCATGTCCGACCCATCGCAACCCCATGGACAACATTCCTCCAGGCCTTCCTGTCCTCCACCATCCCCTGGAGTCCACTGAAGCAGAGTCCACCAACTGCCTCAGTGACTCCAGCCACCTCATCCTCTGCCGTCCCTTCTTCTTTTGCCATCTATTGTCCCCAGCATTAGGGTCTCCTCCAGGGAGTCCTTCCTTCTCATTAGGTGGCCAAAGTATTTGAGTTTCATCTTCAGGATCTGGCCTTCTAAAGGGCAGTCAGGGTTGATCTCCTCAAGCACTGACCGGTTTGATCGCCTTGCCCATCCTCATGGAATTCAGAGACGCACAAGGCAGGGCCAGCCGCAAAGACCTCAGGAACGAATGAATGCTTCGCCCAGGGCTTCGCAATGAGGACTAGCATCGCGGCGCACGGTCCTTTCCCGCGTCGCTTTTCCATCCCAGCAGTGCAGTGCAGTGCAGTGCAGCGCCGCGTGGCTGCCTCCGGCTCGCGGTCCTCGCGCAGCTCGTGCGAACGCGCGGCCGCGCGCGCGCCGGACCCGGACCTGCCTCGGCCGCGCGCGCCAGCCCGCCCAGCCCATCCGGCGGCGGCAGCCAATGGGCGGCGGCGGCGGGCGGCCGATCCGCGGGGGGGCTGCCTTCCCACCCCCAGTGACGGAGGCGGCGGAGAGGGCAGAAAACCGCGCGTGCGGCGCTCCCCGGGCCAGCGGCGGCGCAGCGCGGCAGGCCGGGCGGGCGAGCAGGTAAGGCCCTGGGCGGGGGCACTGCTGGCGCTCTCCCGGGCCCCCCGCCGCCGCCGCCTCCCCGCTCCGAGCGAGGGGCCGCGCCGCGCCCGCTTGCTCGCGAGGAGGCCGCGTGGCCTGGCGCGGAAGGGAGCCCGCGCCTGCGGCGGGGGGCTCGGCGCATCCGGGGGGCTCATTTCGCACGCGCCGCTTGGGATGCTAGCGGGGCAGAGCCGGTCCTGTGCGCCCTCTCCGCCTCGCAGCGGGGCGGTGAAGGGCGGCCGCCTGCCCCGAGGAGCCTGCAGTGCAGCTCTCGAGCCGGGCTGGAGGGGGAAAGCCGTTGGCTCGCGGGGCCGCCGGGAGCGCGCGCGGCATCCAGGAGCGGCCCCGCGGGGGGCCCTCGAGCGGGCGGGGAGAGGCGGCCGGCGCGTGCTGCGGCCCCTGGGTCGAGCCTCGGCTCGGGGCGGCATCGGCTCCATCGGGCGGGGGGCAGCCCGGGTCCGGGGGCGTTGCGGAGGCCCCCGGGGGGTTCGGCGCACGCTTGAGCGCCGTGCCGTGCCGTGCCGTGCCCCCGCCCGAGCATCGGCGCCCGCCTCGCGAGCGGACCCGGTCCGGAGGGCGCACGCGGCGCTCGCTGCCTTTGTCGGGGGCGCTGCGCACGCCTTGCTTCTGCCCGGGCCGGCAGGGCCCCCGCAGGGCAGAGGAGCGGGGGGGGCCCTGCTGTGGCCCCGCGGCGCGCAGTTCAGCGCCGGCGAGCCGCAAAGGCAAAGCCAGGGCTTGGGCGCGCGAGGGCAGATCCTGGCCGCAGCCGGGGCTCCCCGGGAAGCGGGCCACCTCGACGGGCCCCCGCAAAGAGCCTGGCCAAACGGCTTGCCTCATTTCCTGCTCCGAGGATATTTCCGGGATCGCCGGCGTGCCTTGTGCTGGCGAGGCTTTTCTTCCTGAGTTGCAGTCCGTATTGTTAAGCGTTGCTTTCTGGAGATGCAGACTAGGATTCCTTTCCGGTCATTTGCACCTTTTCACACACGAGTGTGAAAGGGAATGAATGCCAGAGTCCCTTCTTTCCCTTCTCTGCTTTTGGAGAAGACCGCGGTAAGCGGTTTTGCTTTTTCGTAAAGAAAGCCTGCCTTTTTAAGTATTTGGAAATGGCAAGCCGTTGACAGTCTTGCTTCTAAATTCAGTATGTTCCCTTGCCTTAGTGGTCTGATCACATGATGCCTTGTGATTTGCAGTGTGGTTGTTGCACTTCCTCTTTTGTTTTTCCAACCTGCAGAATTCCTGCGGATTCTTAAAATTCTCTTGCGGTCGGTCGTTGCAGCATTTTTCTTCTCCCCCTTTAGTTACAAAATATTGCTGCATTTTTGTGTCAGAGAACCCTGAAGTGCTGCCACTGATAGGCTTTGGTTCTCATCAGCATTTAATCCAAGAACAGTTTCCTCTGACTGTGTCTGGTGCAGCCTTCCCCGTCTGGGTGCTGAATGTCCGGGCTGGGGAGGTGAAATCTCTGTGGAGATGGGATGGCTCGGGGCAAACGGGACTGCGAAATCCGATGGCCACAGGAGACCATTCTTTGCAGGCATATTGGGCACCACAAACCTTGGCCAGGTGTGGGTCAGCGTAACTTTAAATTTAGACTTTTATGGCTTCGAATTTATAGTCATTTTCCTTGTTTAAAAATACCCCGGTTCAAATAAAACCAGAATTTAAGCAATTGCATTCAACAGCTGCTCTTTAGTAAAGGTGGCCAATTTGTGGGTCTCCAAATGTTTTGGCTCACGACTCTCATCAGCCCTAGCCAGCATGACCAGTGGCAAGGAATGCTGGGAGTTGGGGCCCAAGCATCTGAGAATCGGCCACCTCTGTTTTATAGGTCATGAATGACAACGGAGAAGATTCACTGGCAGAGTGTAGGATCAAGGGGTGACACTCTGCAACTCGAGTCGTGCTGGCCGAGCTGCACTTTCCATTGCACCAGAGTTTGTGCATTGTGCTTGTGCAGTGGGTTGAACGACAGGTTGTTTGAGAATAACGCACAAGATGTTGCACAGTCCCATTGCACAGTGGGACCGTGCAACGGTGGAGCATGCAGCAGGTTGCACAGGCAGACAGCCGCTGAAACCTTAGTGTTGGTTGGGTTCTCTCCGCTCGCCCGTGGCTCCAAACAGCCCCTGCCCCCAGCTGAAACATCCGGTTATTTATAATTGAGCTGGGATAGTTCAGCGGCCGAGGGACAGAGCTTACACAGGTTAGGAAATCCCTGAATGAACCTGAGCTTACTTAGTGCGCTTAGGCAAGCCCTCATCTTACACTGTCTGTAAGTTGGTGATGCCCTGATAAATCTGAGATTTTGGACAAGGTAATACGTGTGCAGCAAGAAACTGATCTAAATATTTAAATACCATAGTCATAATACGAAATGCCCCTGATTTGAATCGTGTTGTCATAAAGCTAGCTACAGCTCAGTGTGTTTTTGAAGTGATGCCAGATTTAGTACTTAAGTTTTATATCTGGCTGTTTCATAGAGGTACCTAAGGCAATTTTAAACCAGACACCACGAGTTGTGCTCTGATTCGGAGGAGCTGCAGCATTGGAAGTGGGGGTGTCAACACTTGTTCGCAGGCAATTCCTGAAATCACCCCCCACCCCAGCTGCTATTTATTCAGGGTGTCTGGGGAAAGTACGGGTTTAAAATCTGACTTTTATGGCTTCAAAATTAAAATGCTCGTGGCTAATGACAGCTCTGGATCTCATTTGACATGTACCGTGTGCCTCTTAGCATGGCTCATAATTTGAAATGGGTTGCTTATGGCCCATAATACAGAACAGAAAGCAGAAGAATAGCTCGTGCTGGATTTTTATATTTGAATTGAATATGTGAGGCATGCATGAAGTAATTTCAGGACTAACAGTAATATGGCTTATCGGGGAGCTAGAGGACATGGGATGCATTTAGTTTCTGCCCATGAGGGAGTGACTGGATCGGGCTTTTGAAAGCGCAATTTAAAAAGGAATAAGCTAGTGTATCCTTTTGTTCCGTCCCATGTTATTTTGTAAGCCTTTGTGATCCGTGCCAGTAAGCCTTGCCTTGGAGTACATGGTTGTTTGTTTGTTTATTTTGAACGTCTCTATACTGTCTGTATTTCCATAGAAAACCTCTAGACAGCTTACAATGACATGCAAGGAAAGTGTCCTTGACAGCATGGGATATGCCATTCTTGGGGCAATTTTGTGTTTTCTATTATCCTTTTAAAAATCTAGGCATCCTGGTTGCGGGAGACATTTTTTAAATCTGATGGCAGCCGTCCCCTGAACATGAAACACAGAAGCAAGTAAAGGGACTCTGGAATTGTTTCAGTTCCTGGGACTCTCAAATTCATTTTCAAGGCTTCTTAAAGGGATGAGCGTAGATTATTTTCATGCTTGCGAGAAATCATTCCTGCAGAAAAATGCTGTAGACATTCTTAATGTTTTTATCTATTGGATTTTATTGTCCTTATTTTTTCTTGTGAACTGCCCAGAGTCTTGACTATGGGAGGTATAGAAATGAAATAAATAATATTGTGACATTTCCTCTCAAGGGCATGCGTTTTTGTAGGTTGATAAAAACAGAAGATAGCTCAAGTAGCTTTAAGGGAGGTGTGTAGAGGGAATTATTGTCTCTAAATTCTGAAATATCTCCTTAAACTCAAGGGACTTTGAAAGTGGTCAAGAGCGGCTAAAGGAAAGAGATTTTCTTTAGCGGCTTTGAACAAATAAAGTTGGTGACAGAAGATATTTGCATGAATGGAGTTTTATTTCATCTTGATAGGCAAATTAGCCAGAGCAAAAAGATGGGAAGTTCAGAGCATGTCTGGAACTATCTGTTTTAAACAGGTGCCATGCCCCATGGCTTTCTTGGTTTTGCATTTTAGCACTCTGAGGCTGAACATTTAAAAAAATGCCCTGGCAGTCATGAGTGTTAGGAACTTGCATTAAAAAAAAAATTGAAAAATAAAGAAAAAGCGGAGAGCTCTGGAATATTTGCTGCATTGTCCTGAACAACTGTTACTGCATGATCATTAAAAAGTGAAAGAATTTATACTAATTAATTTTCCTGGCCCCATAGTTACCATGGTGGGTGAAGACAACGTCTCTCTGAGGAAACGCCAATCTCCGTACGGTTCTGCAGAGGACAAAGATGGCTTGTCTACGAGGCTGGAGGGAGACTGGACATTCTCAAAGTCCAGCAATGGTGAGGTTACTTTGTTAGGAATCTGTCTGATAGATATTGATGGGTTGATCGTATGCATTTATCAATTACTGATTAAATCTGTATATGGCTAGATAGACTGAAGAAAAAATGCATTCAGTCTTTGCTTTTAGGGAATGCAGTGTCTCAGCAGAAGTAGCTCAGTTCAAGGATTGTACTAACCGTACCCTGGAACTCAGTCTATGGGTTGACCTTCTGAAAACGGAATGGCGGCTGAAGTTTCAGAGCAGTTCCTGTTTTCTGTTCATTAGTTCATTCCCGTCTCCAGGATGCACCAGGCTCTGGGGGAGCCGTGGTGGGAGTAACTGGTTTGTCATCCAGACATGGCAGTCCAAAACCATCTTCAGGTGTTCCTAGCTGTCTGACCCAAGTCACCTTTCACCTGTTAGGTTTGCCAAAAGGGAGTGCCCCTTCCAAAGACAAGTGTGTTATTTGCATGTTTGTGTCTGAATTAAGATCTGCAATGCCTGATGCTCACCTGACAGGGGGAGAGGGTGCTAATTTGTTGATCCAGGTTTTTGCAGCTACCATGGGGCTGACTGACTCCAGCTTTCCCCAGCCTGGCACCCTCTGAAACCTTTGCTTTTTGGAAATCACAGAAGCCAGCGGGATCCTCTGAGATTCCTTGGAGGAGCTGCCCGTAGCCCCAAATAATTGTGCTCATTTTGTAAAGCCTGCCATGCTGGGTTTGAGCCAAAGCGAGGAGGGTGGACCACGGGAGCACTCCAAGCCACATCCCCGTAGCAGCTTCTGCCATGTGGGGACCCTGTAGAACACAGCTCCTGCCTTTTAAAAATGCTTCAGAATAGCATAAAAGTGCTGGGCAAGTACATTTGTGGGAGACTCACGGCATGTGTGCAAAAAAGCAGCTTTAATGCACTTTGCAAAACACTCTTTCAAACTGGGGTTTTTTTTAAAGGGTGGCGTCTCAAAAGGACCCCGTGCTGCAGAATCTTTGAGGCAGGTTGGGTGGTTTGAGTGTCCACAGGTGCTCACGCTTTTGCAGCTGAGGACTGCTCATGGAATCAGACGCACCCCTCAACAAAAGGGGGATTCAGCCAAAGAGGAGGGGTTGGGGTCTACCCCCTCTTTTTCACCATCTGTTCCAGCAGGGTGCATGGGTCTTTTCTCGGGGTGTTCACACCCTCCAAGGGTTTTTTTGGTTTTGCAGTGGGCCTTGAGTTGGTAGCGCCTTGGAGAGATGGGGCTGTTCGCGTCAACCGAAGTCAGTTTGCCTGAACTGCCAAGCCCCAGCCGCTGCTTACGAAAGGGGACTTGCAAGAGGTTATAATTCTCTTTTTGCACGACGCTGTACAGGTATATAGCAGCAATACACTTGGGCACTATCCTGGCAAAAAATAAGAAGCCTTCCCAAATCCCATTTCAGGCAGGAGCTTGGAGCTTGGCACGTGTTGGGCTGAGCGCTCTTGGCAGGAGAAAGCCCTTCTGGTTCTGAATGGTGCCTGAAGCCAGCACCCTGGGGGCATGTTCAAAACGGAAGGTGTGCTAGGGTACCCTTCCCCCAAAACACCCTGAAGGTCCTGAGGCAGAAGGGGGACATGCCCCTTTTTGCAAAGAGAGACCTTTTGGGACTTTGCAGGCCTGTTGGGAATGGTTGCGGTTGGCAGTCTGGGTAAGACCTGCAGAAGGAAGGTATTGGCTGGTTTGGTTAGGGGACCTGAAGATGCTCTTACAGGCCAATTGCCTCTAATGCTCCCTGTGCTGAAGATCAGCACGTGGAGGGAAATTCTCACAGTTATTAGTGTCTGTCACCAGTTGGAGAAAGATAAAGGGGGTGCCAACCCAGGCAGCCCTCCCAGTGACCTCCGAGACACCTTGGAAGAGCAGCTTGCCCAAACAGGGACCACACATTCCCCCCCAGAAAAGTTGTAAAAGCAAAACCCAAGCTGTGCTGTGTCCAAAACCGCTCGCAGAGGACAGGGAAGAACCTTGGGGCTTCTGCCCCAGCATCTGGGGGGGGGCAGTGTGAAGCTTGCTCTGAAGCTGGTTAACTGCCCTGTACAAAGCCCCCCCCCCAAAAAAATACATTGGTTTGGTTCAGTTCTGAGATGTTCCCCCCCACCCCCCACCCCAGGGCCAGAAATTGCTGCTTTCCCCGCTTACCAGGAGACCAGCCCTGCCTGGAAAGTGGTGTATGGGTCATGCCGGCTAGATATAGTTGTAATTCCTTGAGCTGGAGGTTACTCCCGGTCGTTCTTTGTTCTAGCAAACACCACCACCAGCGTCATGCTGATGAATGACAATTGATGACTCCTCTGTGGCGGTGGGGGGGGGGATGAGGCCAAGGAGGAGGGTAAGTTCATCTATATGAAATAGGACACTCTGGCTTTCCTTCGGCTTTCCTTCTACAAAGAGTTTTTGTTCCTCTTTCCCTCTGTTGGACTCTTGGTGTTTCCCATCGACTCAGTGACTTGCTGTTTCGATCACAATCAATTTACTTTATTTCTAATGCTATTTTTATCCTGACTTTCTGGCAGTGAGCTTGCAAAACAGTTTCAGGGACAATCTAATTAAAAATATCTGAAACTGAAAACAGCATTGCATTATTCTTAACCAAACAACAGAGGACAAGTAAAGTTCTTAACCAAACAACAGAGGACAAGTAAAGGTGTAACCTCTTGAGTCAAACTTGGCAAAGCAGGAGTTCACTCAGTGCTTGTGTAGATCGTAACAGCTCTGATAAAGAAAGAGTTGGCGTCCCTGGTGAGAGCTGGCAGGGACGCTCCACTTGGAGTCAGGCTCAGGGGAACGGCTCCACAGCTTGGCACCTGTGGTACCAATTCTGCTACCCGAGGAGGAGATGCCTTTCAGATAATTTGCATTTCACTTTATTTAATTGCCATGCTTTCCAATAGCCGAAGCTCTCTTGGCAGTGAACAATGATCAATAAAATACTATATAAAATAAAGCTACAGTAAAAACATAACATTACGCTAAAGATCTAGAACCACATTTTAATGACTCAACTGCTAAAGCTAGTCCGTACTGCAGGGCCTGCTCAGAAACAGCTGCCCGTTCCCCACCACCACCACTGTGCTCTTTGGAGTTGGCAAAGAGAGTCGAACATGGAATCCCAGATCGGGGGGTTGTTGTGTCAACCAGACCCAGCTTCCATGGCTTATCCTGAGAGGTAAACAATGCTTGCATAACCCATGACTTGCAATAGGAATAGAATAGGCGAGGTTGTCCAGTGACTTGTGGTAAACAGATTTGGATGACACAGCCTGTGCAATCAGGACTTGGAAATTCGAAATAGCACCCAGCACACTCTTCCTCTCACTGGGGGTTAAACAAGCCACGTGAGCGCTGTGTGAATTAGGCTGGGTGCCTCTGAAGTTTGGTGTAACTCCAACAGGTGCTATGACACCCCCCCCCCCGCACCCCGGCTTCCAGGCTTAGGCCAGGATGACTTCCCTGCATGTGATGCTGAGCTTTGGAGACCCCCCCGCCCACATGCCGTGCTGCTGTTCCTTCCTCCTCATGGGGTGGTGGGCAGGAGGTTCCTCACTTTGCTGCATTTATTGGGGTGCCTGCCAGAAGGGAATGGGGTTCTCCGTAGGGAGCAATTTTGTAAAAAGCCCCATTCACGTCATGTTTATGGGAAGTGCATCATCCCTCCCATTTTGAGTACACAACCTGTGGGCATTTATTTCTTTCATTTTTATACCGTCCAGTAGCCCAGGCTCTGCAACCAGGCAGACGCTCTGGTCCATGCTGGTGGTGGACTGTGTCCTTGGGTCCCACATGTCCATTTGGGGATACCAGCACTGCTGGAATTTGGCTGATTGCCGGATCTTAAAAAAATGGGACTACTCGCTTCCACTGGCAAGAAATAACTGTTTGGTCAGGGAATAGGTTCAGTAGCCATTCACGTGAATCTTCCGTGGTTTTTTGTATGATTAGCAGAGAGCATTGCTCAAGCAGAGCACGGGGGAAAGGGGCAGAATGAGTAGACTCAGTTCCGGGCTTAGCTTCCAGGAGAACTTGATGGTGTGCGTTCACAGGGTGTTCTGTAGGGAGCAACCCTGGACTGGTTTTGCTAGGAATTCTTGCCAGTGGGCCGTGACTAGTTTATGGAAGAAGCAGAGCAAGAGGAAGTATATCCCAGATACAGGGAAAGCTTGAAAGGCGCCACCTCTGGATACATCTCAAATGTGGATGATTGGTTTGAGCTGTGCTTATATCTTTCACAGCAGAAAGAAGCGTATCATTTAATTAGTTGTCATCAGATTTTACTGGGCTTTGCTCATCAAGGCAGGGCGTTGCCTTCCCGTTTCTTAGTTCAGAGCCAAAGAGGGGTGTGGAGACCTATTCATTAAAGGCTTAAGTTGGGGATCTGAGCTCCAGATCACCAAAGTGCTTTTTTGAGTTCACCACTATCTCTGCTCCAGCATTCATTTTATGGAAGGCAGAGTCTTGAGCCTGAGAAATGTGAGACCAGAAGCATCCGTTGAGATGTGATTTATTTGGCATATTTTGGTCTGAGAGATGGATAGACTCCATCAATGAAGCCACTGTTGTAAGTTCTTGGACTTACAACAGCTACGCAGGGATGTCATGGGTAGGACGTTTGGGGGACTTTCATGGGGTTGGGGTTGGGGTTAGGAGACAGCTTGGCCACACATAACACAACAAATGTGTATTCCACCTTTCCATCAAAGATGGCTTTCAAGGCTTGCAATCACTGATAAAAAAAAAAAAGTAAGTAACACCTTTAAAGCACAACTCAGACTCTGACATAACTACAGAATCTCAACAGCATCCAGTTCAGCAGCCGCACTTATGCTTGGATAAAGCAGTTTTTCCCTGTGGCAGAGGGAATTAGCTTGCCTTAACAAAGAGTTCCATGGCCACCGAGAAGACCTTCTTTTGCCTTTAAAGGGGACAGTCTTGAGAAAAGGACCTCTTTTTGGTGGCATGGAGGGCTGGTTCTTTGCTTTGCAACACAACCTGATAGCCTT